TTCATCCTCGCCTGACCCAGAAAAATCTTATGGGAGAGAACAAGAGGCCCAAGAGCTCTCTGATCTGCTGTCAACCAGCTGCAACCCCGAGACTGCCAAGTGCTGCAGTGACTCGGCAGCGCCCTTCGGAGCCGTCTGGGAGGGGATTACCAGCCTGATCCCCTGTCTTTGGAGCCAGAAATGACTCAAGCTTCACGAACAGCAGGGGCCTGCCAGGGAGGGTGACAATGAGCACTGGAGAGGGTTTTCTCCCCTCACTGGTGTCTCTTCCCCCTTCTTGCTGCTGCGGCAGATTCTGGACAGTGTACAGCCTGTGAGGTAATATGAATTCCTTGGCAACCAGCAAGTACCTGAATTCTTTCAAAACCACAGGAATCCAGCAGAGAAAAGGTAAATATCCCCACGGAGCCAGTGTTAATTAGCAAAGAAGGCTACTGAAGAAGGAACTGGGGGTGGGGAGGAAGGGAAAGGCATTACAAATGCTTTGGGGTCTTTTATGGATTTCCATTGAATACTATGGCTGAGGCCATCCCCATGGACCTTCTCAGGGTCCTCTCTTCCCACCCCTATAGCATGAGTAGCTCTCTCCCTGATCCTGGAGAGGCACCTTCATTTCACCCAGCTGCCAGACCTACCTATCTTCGGGTCTCTGACAACAAATTTGGTTTTCAACTTAATTAAGTTTTAATTTTTTCTTTTCCTGTTTCAATGAAAATTTAGCTATTGGCCCTGTCTCAAAAAAGGTCCAGTCAAATCATTTAGACCACATATTGGATCCACCTAAAACTGTAAAATCCAGAACAAAGTCTTTTTGATTTCCACCTCTGACAGGAAAAAGAATCTACACCATTTTGGTGGAGAATGCCACCCTTTCTGGAAGGCGAGTGCCCCCTGCTGGTACAAGGCAGAAACATACATGTACAACTCAAAAGCAGGGCGGACTTCCAGGGGAAAATGCCGGTCCCAGATGCCAGAAAGATGATTTTTTTTTTTTTTTTTAGATGCCTCAACATTTTGCCCACATATAAAAAAATGAGTTTTCTTGCTTCCTATGTTAGTAAGACAACAAGAACAACTAAAATTATTAATACAGAAACAAACTGTTAAGGCTCTTTTTCCTCACTAAGTTTAGAAGGTAAAAAAAACTTACAGACTTAAGAAATGAACTTAATCTGCTGTCACCTAAGCTTTAATTTGAGTCCCAACGAGGTGATATGGGATAAGGCCATTCTTTTGTAAAGAGGAAAATCAAATATATTTGTTGTCAATTTTGTTTCTTTAGAGAAGATTATGGTTTTCCTTGGTGAACCTCAAAGTAAAATGGCTTAGTGATCTCATCCCAAATTGATTGTCTTTAGTAATGTCTACATAAAACACACGTGAGCCAAGATTTACTAGAGGCTACAGATCTAGAGATGCTATAGACTATTGTTGAATGTAATGACACACTCGAGCAAATCCTGAGGATTAAAGAGAAGCAGATGAATGCCAAGATATACAGTGAGTTAAGACACCAGAGCACAGCACATGGAAGTTACTGTGCAGAGCAATGTGCCCTCGAAGGACTCTAGCTAATAACCTGTGATCGTGTACTGTTCTTTTGTGGAGGGTTTTTATTCACCTATACTTTTAGGTAAACTGACACAAAGCCCTGAAAATTCCCATTTCTTGGTTCAATTTGATCCGAATTTTTAGAAAAACTGTTCTCTAAATTACTCTAAGAAAAAGCATGCATTTTAAAATACATAGGGGTGGTCAAAAGTAGGTTTACAGTTGTAATACAAATAAAAATAAAATTAATAAATAACAACACAAGAATAAACACTGTTTTGTGTACTCACAACTATAAACCTACCTTTGCCTATACATATATATATATATATATATATATATATATATATATATATATATATATATATTTTCCCCCCCCCCAGTTTCCACTGAAGGCAAGAAAAGCTACTCAGTTCAGTGGATTCTGATTCTGGAACATACCAAGTAGCCAAAACTCTTGCATATCTGTAATAACTATTGGTATTGCTCTCAATCTGTGTCTGAACCACTGAGGTCTTAAAACTATGCCAAATTTTAGCAATAGAGAGGGCTATTAATATTGTAAGTGAAACGTCTTTCAAATAATATGTAAAACATGTTAGTATGATCTTTCCTTTTTTTAAAATATTTTTATTGATTTCTGAGAGGAAGGGAAAGGGAGAGATAGAAACATGAATGATAAGAGAGAATCACTGATCGGCTGCCTCCTGCTTGCCCCACACTGGGGACTGAGTCCACAACCCAAGCATGTGCCCTGACTGGGAATCAAACTGTGACCTCCTGGTTCATAAGTCGACACTCAACCATTGAACCACGCCAGCCAGGCAGTATGGTATTCTTGAGAAATAGTGAGTGTAACCTTGAGGGTTTTTTTCCCAATGCAAGAAGTCCAACTTGTGGCAGGACAGAATCACTCCTGGGAAGGGAACAGGAAACAAGCTGGGATAAGGATGAGTGGAGGGAAGAGGAGAAAAAAGCTCATGATACACAAGAAAGCTCAGATATCTAAAATTACAAAAAACTGAAATGCTTAGCACCTTATATATCTGAGTAGAAGAGGTATACTTTAGCTTCTTTTTTTCTAGATAATATGGGGAATTGGCTTTTACACCTATATTTCAAAGAATGACAGCACATGTGTCTACAAACACTACAGACAACTTCTTTCCTATGAATCTGATTAGAGCTAGTATGATAGTATGTGATCAAAGACTTGGTTCAACCCTCTACTTAAAAACTGAGAAATATTATAGTAGTTTTCCCCTCCTCAATTTTGAGGAAAGAGTGAACACAGGAACTATATAAAATGGAATCACTTTAACCAAGCTGTTAAAATTATTAACATTATGAAGGTTGGGGCATGAGGATTCTATTCTTGTTCTAACTAGCCTGGGAAATTAAAATTTTTTTAACTTTCCAGTCTTGTATGAATGCTTGCATATATGTCTGGACATACACACTGAACCTCCATATATTTGATTATTCCCCTCAACATCTCACGTAGACCACCTGGTATCCGTTAACCAGACCTTAGCATGTGACCAGACCTCCTGGGATCCACCTTGCAGACCACCTGGCATCTATCATCCAGGCTACCTGACATCTGAAAGATAAGCATCCTGGACCAATCCTAGGGCCAAGAATGCAGGACTAAAAATTCTCAAGAGTGTACTTTTTACTATAAAAAATCTTAACTTTTCTTTCTTCTTTGGAACATTTCTGGGATTTTTGTCTAGCGTGTTCCCAGTTTGCAAACTCTAAGACCCTTGAATAAATGTTTTACATTCATTTCTAGCCAAAGCTTCCAGACTCCTTTTGATTACAATGGACAATTTTCAAGGAACAAGAGGCCAGAACTAGGGAGCTTCAGTAGCCTCCGAGTTCCTTGGGCTCAAACACGTAAATCTAGTTAAAAATATGACAGGGCATATAAATGTTGTCACTGCCACCTAGAGGTGAAGGGAAGAAACGGCTCAACCAGCCAAAATCACCCTCAGACTATAGTCAAAGGATGCATAAAAAAAAATTTGAATTTATGAAATAATTAAAACACCATTTTAAAGTAACAGTTGTCAGAGTACTATAATACTTCAATAGGTAGGCTTCTTTTAACCATTATATTTGCCATCTTCCAAGTACATTTTCTAAAATAAAAAACACATACAGACCAAGCTTTATAGCTTGCCATGACTGCTCACAGATTGCAAACTACCTTCTAAACTGCTGTTATGTAAGGCCAATGCATAAAAGGAATTTCAGGGAAAGCTAGTTGATTAAAAAAAATACACTCACACACAGTGGGACAAAAGTGGGTTTACAGTTGTGATTATATGAAACAGAGTTTATTCTTGTATCATTATTTATTATTTTCCATAAAATCAACTGTAAACCTACTTTTCCCACCCCTGTATATGTTGGGGGAAGAACATAAGCAAAGATATATGCTCATTTTAAACAATTTAAAAGGTCTATGAAAAATACTGTCACCTCTAAAATTATCTGCTTATGGAAAACAAAACTTCCAATTATTATAATTTGAACTTAATTTTATAAGTTACATTACCATAAAACCTAAAAAAGACCACAAGAAAAAACAAAATACAACCATTGTAAAATATATTACTTGCAGGTGGGGGGGGGGGGGGGAGAGGGAGAGAAAGCAGCTAATACCTCCTAAATACAAGAGGCCTTGAGCTCTGGAATCAGATCCAGAAATCCAAACTCCTGCTCCACTGCCAACCTGCTGGGATACCTCAGAAAAGTGACTTCAAGTTCCCTTACCTCTCTAATCAGTTTCCTCAATTGCAAAAATGCATCAACTGTAAGGTTATTGTGAGCATTAAAGAAAGTGTCTGGGACACTATATATATAAATGTGGAATTTTTAATTCTTTTTAGATCAATTCTGAAGAATGATGACAAATGATCCTTTTTGTTCTGTTTTATTAATCCTCACCCGAGGATATTTTTCCATTGATTTTAAGAGGGAGTGGAAAGGACTGGGAGAGACAGAGAGAGAGAGAGAAACATCAAATGTGAGAAGACATATCAATTGGTTGCATCCTGCACACACCCTACCCAGAGCCGGGTTTGAGCCTGCAAATGAGATCCGTGTCCTTGTTCGGAATCAAACCCACCAGAACCCTTCAATCCAAGGGCCGATGTTCCATCCACTGAGCCAAACCAGCTAGGCAACAAATTATCTTAATACCATAGGTCTTGAGAACAACTGCCAATGCATGAAAACAGGATGTGATCCTGGATCACTGATAGGAAAGATGTGTGCTTACATACGCATAACTGCTCATACATGTGCCTATGTAAAGGAGCCTGAAGACCATATGGGTACACTCTATTTTTTGAGTTGAACATAACAGAAAAAAAATTGATCTTAATATACCCCTTAATTGGTCTACTCTAATAAACACCCTCCCTCCACATGTCTCTTACCTAGCCAATCCTTCCTCATAGAGATAGATGACAAGAGGATCATAGGAAGTCACAAGCACATAGAGGCGCACATCAAACTTGAAATCTAAAAAAAAAAAAAAAAAAAAAAAAAAAAAATTGAATTCACAGGAAAAACTAAGTTCATTTGTTATGTTATAGAATAAACAGGACAATGTAACAAATAACCCTCCTCTCCCCACAAAATACACATTGTCCACACCCCTTGCATTTTGAGGATAATAATTATACATTTTGTACATATATATGAGAATTTATACATGTATATTGTACAGTTCTCATATATATTTGTTATTATAGCACCTATAAAGTACTTTCTTTTTTATGATCTCATTTCATCTTTGAAATAATCCCATAAGGTAGGTAAGGAACCAGCCTCTAAAGCCATAGTTGTTAAGAATTTCATATTAGCTTAATAAAGACTTACTAGTGATTGCCAGAGGAAAAGGGATGGGAGGGAGAAGAGAAGAGGGTGTAGAATTGATAAAAAGTGCTGGAAAGAGACTTGACTTGGGATTATGAACATACAATACAATATACAGATTATGTATATTATAGAATTATACACCTGAAACCTATATAACTTTATTAACCAATGTCACCCCAATAAACCTAACTATATATATAAAAGCATAAGCAACTGTCCAACAAGTAGCTATGACTTGTAATGACCACCAGGGGGGCAAATGCTCAATGTAGGAGCTGCCAAGCTATGGTGACTTGGCAGCTGCAGTTTTTGGGTGATGCAGCTGGAACCAGAGAGGAGGGAGCCCGATTCTGGGGTGTGTCACTCAAAAGCCACCCTCTTGCAATCCAGGACCCCTCATGGGATGTCAGAGAGATGGTTTTGGCCCAATCTCCACAAGCCAGGCTGAGGGATCCCACCTGTGCACAAATTTGTACAGTGGGCCTCCAATAAATAAATAATAAATATTAAAAATTAACAAGATCTAACCCAATCGAGGCAAGGGCCTAACCACAACTCACCATCTATGAGCAGGGGGTTGTTAATGTAACGGGAGACCAGGATGTTCTCTTCCAGGGAAATCTGGTTTGGCTATTGAGTAAAGAAAAAGAATGAAAGGACAGAAATGCAAAGGAACTCTAGCTTACAGTATGGGAACAAAGTTCTTAATCTTTGAGAAATGATAATGTAGAAAAGTAAAACTCTAAGAATAAAGTTTTCTTCCAAGCTACCCATACATTCAGTTGGCCACATAACACACCACTTCCATAAACACTATAGATTTCCAATTACAATGGGGGGAAATAAGTTTATACAGTATCTCTCAGATAATAAATCAAGTCTATACAGCTTTAAAGATTTCTAAACATGATATTAAATAGTTACAGGCCAAGATAATAAAAGCTACTTAAAAATAAAACCTTGCTTTCTCTCAAACATAAAGTATGATGCAAATTTTTAAATGCTACTGCTATTCTTAGATAAAAGCTTTCATCAAGTTGCTTAGAGAATTTATAGATCTTATCCCCGTGAAAGAGGATGGATGTTTCACTGACTCCCTCAATGGTACTTGCTATATCACTATATGTCAAGATAGAACTAGATGTTTGAAATTTTTTTTCAATAAGAGTTGTTTTTACAGTAAGTAATTATGAGTATTGCTGGATAGTATAGAAGGCACTGGGGAATACTGTGATGAAGTGAACAGATAATCCCTGCCCTCATAGCCTACTCCCTACTCCCAAGGAGTTTAATATTTAGGTAGATGGACAGCAAAACAGATAAAAGAACACAAAGGAGCGTATCTGCAAGTGGAACATATGAGGCTGCAAAGTGGAAGACAGTTAAGTGGGACAAGTCAGGGAAGGCTTGACCTGAAAAAGGAGGTGTGGAAGTGAGTGCTGAAAGCTATCAAGCACATGATGGAAGGGATAGGAGACCATCATGGGAAGACGGCATGCACTCAGTCCCGCACAACGGAGAGAGGGCAGGTTCACTGACCTGGGCTAAAAGACTGAACTGAGAAATAATGAAAGACAGACAGTTAGGAGAAAGGGACCCCACTGGCAAAGGGATCTGGACCTCTGGCAAGGCCAATTTAGGTCGAACATGGTGGAAAACAGGAAATGATTGTGGAGTCTTACGAAAATGGTAAGATTAAAATATATGGAATAGAACAACTCCATGTGAGACTACATTAAGACATAAGTCATCTGGAAGTCACCACAATCCATATAGGACAAAGAACACTAAAGGAAAGTGAAAATAGTAATAACTGTGATTATAATAGCTACAGCAGCAGCAACAGAAATAACCATTAACATCTGCAGCAAAATATGACATTTTAATCAATGTATTGAACATTTACTATGTGTTGTTCTAATTCTTCACAAGTATTATTTTGTTTAATCCTCACCTAAGTCCATGAGGTAGGTATATCACCATCCAAATATTAGAGATGAGGAGAGTCAGAGAGTTAGGAACCTGCTCTGAGTCAGACAACTAATAAGTGATCAGGAGAAGCATTTGAACCCGGGTCTGCCTCAGAGGCTTAACTCTTAAGCACTAAAGTTCTGAACTAAAAATAATTATCCACCAAATTCAAAAGTTTGACTTGATAATAATGCATTTTCTATCCCAAATATTACAGTTACCATAAATAGGGATAGTTTTGTGACACATTATACAGCCATGATGAGCAACTCCAGTCAGGATGATGAGATCCCCCTCTTGCTTCCCACTGCTGCTATCTCAAGCTCAGAACACAATTTTCCCAGCCTATGCATCATATGGACACCGGTGCTGATTCACCCTCAAGGACTCAGTCACCCACACCATTTCCCGACTCCCTTGCATTCCTTGATCCGTTTCTCACAAGTACTATCTCAGTAGCTTAGTAAGAATTGATACAATCACAGTACAAAGCAGCAAGCTGTAGGCCGTTCCAAAACAAAACAATTACAGCTCTCTTCCAAGTGAATAACACCTATAGGCTACAGTAGATGTCTGAGCACTCACCTTTCCTGTGAACCAGCTTCCTAACACATATTTATCCTTTGAGTTATGTATAACATAATCTCTTACATTATTTTTTCAATGGCCTGTAGCTCTCCTTTTTATCTGCATTAGGAATCAAATTGTAAGCTCAGAGGAGAAAAGAATGGTTTGGGTAGTTTCCTTATATACTGTTATATACTATTAGGTCTAGTAATAATTAATGTTGTTTTCTAATACTTTTTTAAATCGAATTTATTTAAACAATACAACAAAATTTAATCAACAATATAGTTGCCGTTGTTTTCTTCTACTTGTGCCCAATGCTCAGGAAGCATTTTAATCCCTCTGTTGTAAAATTCTTGTGATTTTGATGCAAAAAATTCGGTCAATGCATTTTTGAGGCATTCTTCATTATTAAATTTTTTTCCAAGAAGAAAGTTTTGCAAAGAACGAAACAAATGGTAATCGGAAGGGGCAATATCAGGAGAATATGCAGGTTGAGGGAGAACTTCCCATTCCAACTGGCACAGTTTTTCAGCAGTGATTCTTGCAGTATGCGGTCGTGTGTTATCGTGGTGAAGAATTACGCCCTTCCGATTAATCAGCGCGGGTTCTTTTTCTCTTAAAGCTTGGGCTAACCTTTCCAATTGGGCACTATACACTGCACTTGTAATGGTTTGGTTAGATGGTAAAAGTTCATAATGAAGAATTCCTTTAAAATTCCACCAAACACACAACATCACTTTTTTCGCATGCAAGTCAGGTTTTGGCGTGGGCTGCAGAGCCTCATTTTTGTCCAACCATTGAGGCCACCTTTTCAAATTAACATACAGCACCCATTTTTCATCTCCGGTAACAATTTGCTCTAAAAACGGCAAATGGTTTTGACGAGAGAGGAGCGAACTGCAAATTGTGACTCTTTGATTACGGTTGTTGTCGGTCAACTCATGAGGAACCTATTTTCCAAACTTTTGGACTTTGCCAAGTGCACGCAATTGATTGGAAATTGTTTTTTGTGAACAATTTAAAGTTGTCGCAAGCTCTTGTTGGGTAATTTGAGGATTTTGCACCAAAGGAGCTTGAAGAGCTTCTTGATCAAAATTGGACACACGGCCTCGACCACTCTTGTCATCTAACAAAAAATTTCCCTCGCAAAATTTCTCAAACCAACGCTGGCATTTTCTGGCGCTAACTGCATCTTGACCAAGAGCACTACAGATGTTTTTTGCAGTCTCACTTGCTTTTCTTCCTAATTGGAACTCGTAAAGCATGCAGTGCCGAATATGCTCTTCATCCGCCATCTTCTTAGCCCTAGTTTTGCAACAAAAACCAAACCAAACACAAACTTTTTCAAGCAAAACTTGTTAATTGCACTTCACACGTTCTGTAGATACCACGTGTTTGAAGGTTATGTCAATACAAGTCAACGCCAAGCAAGATTTTAAACAAATGTTTAAAAACGACATTAATTATTACTAGACCCGATAGTAAGCAACTAACGAAAGCTTTTTCAAACCTGTTCCTCAATCCCCAATTAACTCACTTTTAATGATTTTCATTCCAAGCTCAAACTGCTGAAAGCAAGAATGTATGTGAAAGCAAGAATGTGAATTGTTGGAGAAGTTGGAAACATTTATTTTTCTAACTGGACTTTAAGACTAAAGTTCATGGTATCTGTTAGGTCATTGTAAGGTAGAATGGTACACTGGTTAAGAGTGTATCCTCTAGGTGCGAGGGAGTGGAATAGGGGGTTGAGGACAAATATGTGACACCTTAATCAGTAAAGAAATTTTAAAAAAAATAAAAAAGAGTGTATCCTCTAGAATTTGCTAGATCTGAGTTACAGTTTTGATTCTACAACTTACTAAGGAAATAATAGTAATTCATCATAAGGTTCTTATAAAAACTAAATGAGATTATATTTGAAAGGCACAGTGGTAGGCACATATTAAATGCTCACGAAATCTGGTTGCTGTTACTACTGCAAACTCTATAGTATCTATGTGGTTCTATTTACTAAGTTCCATAACTCAGCAGCATTCATCGCAGCATGCAACATGCCATTCTACTCAGAGCAGTGCACTAAGTTACAATGAAGATCCATAAGAATTAGGAGAGTCCCTATTTCTCAAAAGGTTTTTAAGGAGTATAAGTATCTGGCACACCACAGGCATTCCCTACATATCTGTTGAACAATGAGAAAAAATAAAGAGCACATAAGATAACAACATATAAACAAACAGAAACAAGAGAGTTGTGCAGACTTATATTCACAAGTATAAGAGTGACCTAAATACACTTCTGATTTCTTTAAAACATCAGGGAAATATTCACATTGCATTTACCGTGGATAATGTGTGAGACAAGGATGACTAAACCTGACTTCTATAATCAAATTCATACCCTAATCAGGAAACACCAGATCTTTCCCCTCCTCGATCTGAAAATACTAAATTGGGAAAATATGGCATTTAGTCACAGTTACTGAAGGAGCTGGATCAAAAACAACTCTGTTCCTTTATGATGTGTTTCCAGAGTTAAAGAGCCCGTTATTAAGAGACTGTGTTAACCAATCAGCTGAGATGCTTCCATCTGTAGGAGCTCGCACGTCTCTCTCCATTAGTACATAAAAGTAATGTTTTGTCTGTCCTTTATCCTGTTCTTGTAATGGTAAAAGTTGCTATTTGCAGAGATTTTCCAAAAGGTTAAGACTATTATTGGGAATGTGAAATAAGAGGCCCTCTCAGCCCAGCAGGAAGACAGGGAATGATGTTTTCATTTGGCCCTCACACCTAACTCAGGCCCCACAACATCCCTCACCCACTCTCATTAGTGCTGCGCACAGACCCTCCGCCGGAGCACTCCCTCCTCCCTAAAACCTAAAAGGAAAGCAGGCAGCAGCCTTGGAAATAGTTACTTCATCCAGTTGGCTAATGGGTCACATATTCCATGGGAAAGGATCCAGGTATGGAAAAGAGGGGATGGTTTGGCCTTGTGCGTAAAGGAGAGAGAGAAGAGTATTAACTACATGGTTCTAAGGTCTGGGTAAAAGGTGATAAATTTCCAGTTTTGGAGTGAAATGGGAATATTTTCCCATTATGTCCACATGTTGCCAGCTCCCCTGGTGCCTGCTGGCATCTTCCCAGGCTTCTGTCTGGCACCTCCACCAAATACCTCAAAGAATCAGACTCATTCCAAAACTTCTCTAGGAGGAGGGGGGCCAAGGGTCCAGCCAAGTTCTTTGATCTATGCAGGGGGTCTCCAGGGATTCAGCCCAGGGAGAGGTGGGAGGGAGGAGAGCCTGCCAAGTGCATTTTCTACAGGCCTGTCACCCCCTTTATGAGACTCAGAATCCAAGGAGGAGTCAGAGCACCGGGCTCTCAGCCCCACAAGGAAAGTTTAACTCTTCTTTTCTTTATGATGTTGGTTTTAAAATAACAAATCACCAGGGCAAGAGCATTCCAAGAGAAAAAAGTCCCAGATGAGCTGGGAATAGATCCTATTCTTCTTGACTCATGTCTAAGAAAATAAAAGGCAAACATATACCACCACTGACTTTCAAAAGCAATTCCATTTGGCAGCTAAAACTCAAACCCAAACCCAAGCTAGTGCTATCTATGAGATTCAAATAACACTGGAATTCCTGGCACAAAGCTGAAGGAAAAGCTATTGGGCAGGAGCCCTCACACCAAGGTCAGAACAGAGACAAGAAAAGAGACATCCAAAGTATCTGACCAGGGCCTCTGTCACAGGAAACACAGAGCAAAAGCTTCTGGAGTGATTCAGGGCCAGGTAACAGGATTGGCAGCCTGGGGCTGCAATAGCTGCTGTATCAGAACCAGATCCTACATGTCTGCAGTGTTTACAATAGTTAGTCCAGACTGAATGGACTTCTTCCCAATGTGAAAGACCCTCAGAAAGTTAGTTTCTGTATGTACAGAAATAGCACAAATCATGAAAGAGAATGGGGAGGTTTAAGATGGAGCACTGAGCCAAAACCGGTATGGCTCAGTGGCTAGAGTGTCGGCCTGTGGACTGAAAGGTCCCAGATTCAATTCCGGTCAAGGGCATGTACCTTGGTTGTGGGTACATCCCCAATAGGAAGTGTGTAGGAGGCAGCTGATCAATGATTCTCTCTCATCAATATTTCTCTCTCTCTATCCCTCTCTCTTCCTCTCTGTAAAAAATCAATAAAATATATTAAAAATAAAGATGGAGCACTGATCCCACACACAACATATCTTCCTCCCAGAGCCCCACTGGAAGGACAAAGAAGATACTTTCTAAAAGAAAGAACTGATAACAAGACTAGAAATTGGTTCAAGGACCAACAACAGACCAAAAGTTTAAGGAGATCTTGAAAGAAAGAAAGCAGAGAGGATCAAGCTGAGAAAGCAGAGCAGAGGATGCCCCTGCCCAGGATTTCAGAGCTGAGCATGATCTTCCAAAGGAGGCTGAGAGAAGGTCCAAGCTGGTAGTGCACAAGCGGGAGCAGGAGTGGGCCAGGAACAAGAGCCGGCAGGTCACTAACATGCAGCATTTGGAACAGAGGCCAGTGGGCCCTCTCCAACACCCACCGCATGGCCCTCAGGAAACAAGCGGTATCCTCTGGGGAAGACAGCTATACGAGTGCAGGGATCTCAAAGAGTGATATCTGCTACTAACTCAAATCTCCCTGTACCTTCAAAATAAGGCTGCCCTGCTTTGGGGCCGGGGGGGGAAGGAAGAGAGCCATGCTCCTCACTTATATCCACCAAAGGTGCAGCCTGACAGTCAACACGCTTTGCCCAACACTCCAACAGCCTCCTGTCTAGGCAGAAGCTACCAGGAAATCGGTCCTACACAACAGTAGGGGAAACTCAAGCTAGTTGTCTATTTCAGTCAGTCTCATCTTCCATTCATAAAAGTGACTCAACACACCTAAGGTTACTGAAATTGAGAAAAACCAACAGGAAGAAAATAAGACAATCCCCAAGAAAATTCACACAACAGAAGACAACTTTAAAAAAACTTTCAACTGCTATCTTCAGAAAGACCAGCAAACAGCACTAAGCAACAATAGCTGTTAATAAAAAAGCAAGTCCTAAAATAAGAGTTTTTGCAAACTACGATAGCCAATATAGAAATACAGTAAATGAGATAAATAAATGGATAGAAATGCAACTGGTGATCCAGAAGATAGAATGGAAAGACAGAATTTAAAATGAGAGAAAAGCTGGCACGAAGGAAAACCCAGACTGCCTCAAAAAGGAGTTCTAGAAGTAGAAACAAAGACAAAAAAAAGGAGGAAGGGGAAGGAGTCGAGGAGTCTTATTTCCCTGAATAAGAAATACTACTAGTTTCTGTATGAAAAAGGTTGACCAAACATCCAGGAAGAAGAATTAACAAAGACCCAGACTAAAATACTAGTTAAATTTCAGAATTCCATGCTATAAAGTTTCTATTGTGTTTAAAATTTGTATCCAATTTATAAACCAGAGAAACTAAATCATAGTTACTGAGGAGAATGTAAATGTTAAAAACCTTAAAAATAATAAAAGGTAATCTAACTTAGAAGTAGAAAGTGGAAGGGAGAGTAGGAGATGATACGAGTACACCAAATATCAAACTGGAAATTAACAAACAAAATGCAAAGCTGAGAAAAAAGAATAAACATAATCCAATTACATTAGGTTACTAACTACTATTGTAAATCTAGGGAGCGAAACTGTGGTTGGAATTTTATTTTATTTAACTTAAAAACAACTTTTAATGAGGATTTTCTGAAGAATCAATATACTAATAAATTTTGAAAAAATAAGAGGATGAGGAGAAAGAGGAGGAGGTTCGGAGGAAAGAAAAGAAGGAAGTGCAACAGGATGCCATTCTGATTTGGGTAAATTTCCTTGAAGACCTTGAGGGCAAGATCCCACAGTTCTGCTCAATAAAAACTAAATGTTTATGCTACTAATTAATACTTAGTGCTGAGGAATCCACATGACAGTATCCTGAAAGCAGAAAAGGTACCTCTTTTTTGCTGATACCAAAGGCTACCTTCCCCAAAATTGGATCAAGTAACTTTTCAGCCATAGAGTAACTAATGTTATGGAAAGTTACTGTCAACAGACACCTCATACCCACACTCAACTTACAGTTCAGAACATTTCCCAAGGGAATGTCTGCTCTTAATGAAAAGATACCATGTTAGTAGCTGGGACAAAGGGTGCGCAGGGAAAAACAGGATGCAGAGGTTGTGCTGGATACTTACATTGTTGATCAGGTAGACGCCCCGTCCCCTAGAAGAGGCCACTGGTTTTACTATCCAAGGTCCCCGATCCTTTGAATAGCAATCTGCTCAAAATATTGGGAGATAAAAAGTGGGAGAGAGAAACAAAGAGAAAGAAGGGACATGAGATTATCAATTTAAATTTCAACAATGGTTATCTACTCAGGTACCCAGAGAATTTTCCAAATTTCTAAGTGGAAGGCAGTAGCTAAAATAACCTGTATTTTCTGACTAGTCTTAAAAATGAAACAAGGATAGAGACAGAGAGAGGGGGTAGAGGGAGGGAGAGAAGGGAAGAAAACAAGAGGGAGGATGAGAAAGAGAGAAGGAAGGAGACAGCAAAATTATAGCAAATACTTCATAATATATTTTGTTCACCATTTCCTTTCTTGAATGAAAGGATGAAACAAAATAAGGCAAATAACTGGATTATAGTCTATTACTGTCACAGACTTCATAAATCTTTGCGATTATTTCTTCCCTTAACTAAGGGACCTCCAGAGGCTAACAGAGCAGACAATAGCAGTGTCAATGATAGATATCATAATATGATCACTTTCCTTAAGCAATTTTACTGAGCTTGTAACAAAAAAACAAAAACAAAAACAAAAAAAAAGTCACCTAAAACCAAACAATGTGCAAATGGAAAGGAAAAACAGGAATTTACAAGTGAGTAAAAGGTAGTTTACTCTTGTTCCTTTCTTAGGTTCAGGCTTACACCTTAAACATCTCTGGATCATGGGAAGAGAAACCAAGAAACAGACACTGAGGCTTGCAGATGGCTCTGCTTAGAAGTGAAAAGACACCAAAGAAAAATAAGAACAAAGAATTCTCCCTTTGCTATGAGCTAACTGACTTTTCAAGGCCTCCAACAGGCACTTAACAAACCATTACACCAGGAGGAGAAAAAGTATGTCTCCTTGCCCACTTTCCTCCATCTCCCCCTGCTTTTCCCTTGATGCAACCTAATTGAATTAGGAAAAATGAAATGTTCCACAAAGAATTTACAACACCAGGAGCAATTCCACTTCTAAAAATATGTCCGCTAGTTCTACTCACACATGTGAAATGTATTTATAAATGTATGAAGTGTTGCAGTATAGTAGCAAAAGAAGTCCATCAATTAAGTACACTATATTGCATCTATTTGAGGAGCCAGCAAACTTTTTTGGAAAAAAAACAAACAAACAGATAATATCCCTGCCAGCGTGGCTCAGTGGTTGAGTGTCGACCTATGAATTAGGAGGTCACAGTTTGATTCCAGGTCAGGGCAGGCATATGGTTGGGTTGCAGGCTCGATCCCAGTATGGAGCATGCAGGAGGCAGTCAATCAATGATATTCTCTCATCATTGATATTTCCATTTCTCTTTTTCTCCCTTCCTCTCTGAAATAAGTAAAAAAAAAAAAAAAAAAAAAATTTTAGAAATAGACAAGGAACTATTAAAAAAAAAAAAAAAAAACAGATAATAAACAATTTAGGCTTTGAGGACCATGCAATCTGTTGCAACTGTTCACTTCTACCACTGTACTTCAAAAACAGCCATAAATAATACACAAAGGAAGGGGCAGGCTATGTTCCAATAAAACTTTATTTATGAACACTGAATTCCATATGATATCCAAATGCCATAAAATGTTATTCTCTTTGGTTTCAACCATTTAAAAACATAAAAACCTTTTATAGCTCATGAGACGTATAAAAACAGGCAGAAGACTAGACTTCATTCAAGGGCTATAGTTTACAGACACCTGATCTATATAATGGAATATGAAGCACACACACAAAATGAGAATGTTATTAATGAACAGAGTATGATCTCAAAGATAGGCTATTCAGTGACTAAAAGGAAAGAAAGTGCAGGGCAATGCATATTGCATGTTCCCATCTGTACACATACACACTCAAGCTATATGCTACAAACACACAGATTATCTCTAGGAGGACATGTGTAAAACTAGGAACACTGATCACCTCTGGGAAGGAGAGGTGGATGTCTGAGAAAAGAAAAATAAGGCTTTTCATTATTGTTTTGTAATTTTTTTTTTGTACCATGGGAATAAACTCCCTTTCAAAATATATAATTTACACAACTTTACTAATAAAGTCCTACAATAGATAACTTATATATATATAAAAATCTAAGGGACAGAACAACTGGTCAACCGGTCACTATGACATGCACTGACTCAATGCAGAAGCTGCCCCCTGATTGTCAGTGTACTCCCACAGCCAATCTCTCATGGCCCCTCTCCCTGGCCTCCAGCCCCAATCAGGACTGGGCAAGATGGGCCCAATCGGCCCCAATCGCAGGCCAGGCCGAGGAACACCACCCATGCACACATTTGTGTACTGGACCTCTAGTAGTTATATAAGACAAATTAAGCCTCTATAAAATAAAGTCACTGTATATGTGTATATGTATACAGTTTATATTTTTTCCATTTTTCCATTTTCCCCAGATTCTAAGGAGGCAATGAGTTGAGTACAGAAGAAATTATTAACAGTGAAAGAAAAAAAAATTACAAAATTTTCTAACCTTCATTCATTGAATACTTCTAAGTACCCAATCCGTGTCAGTTTGCTAGGTGTTAGATCGATCCATGTAGTAGTGACAAAGATAGCCTTGCCCTCACAGAGATTAGACTAGTAGCAAAGGCAGACATCGATCAAGTAATTACTAGTACAGACACACTCTGAGTCATCAAGACGAAGGGTAGGTTGCCATAGGAATGCCTAAGGAAATAGCCAAAACTGTCTGGGGACAGTGTCCTCTACAGTGGCAAGTACATTAATGAAACTCTCGTTTTCACAAAAGGGAAAATCTAGCTAAATGCAATTTTTGCACTTAACAGTGTAATAATCTTATTTTGTAAACTAGCCTTATCAGAAGTTTTTGCTTTTTCGGTGCTTCACTTTTATCACATTGTTGAAATTCCAAATACCAAAGATTTGTCTTTCACATTAGGCTTTTATTCTTAATGTGTTATATTTCAGAACAAAGACTTAGTTTTTTCTAGGTCCTAAAAACGTGGTTAGGAAGCAAGAAAAATATGAGGCAAATGCAGGTTGCAAAGCTTGTCAGCCTCTCAAGATAAGGACGTACTAGACAGGGTCTTCGAGCCTTCTAGTGTCTCCCAGGTTCTACAGTGGCAGCCTGTGCAGTCTAATGGAAAAGCCTCTGGACCAGAGGTAGAAAGATCTGGATTCGAATTCTGGCTTTTACACTATGGGAACTTGGCTTAAACCAGTGATCGGCAAACTCATTAGTTAACAGAGCCAAATATCAGTAATACAGTGATTGAAATTTCTTTTGAGAGCCAAATTTTTCAAACTTAAACTAAATAGGTAAGTACATTGTTATTAACTTAATTAGGGTACATGGTATTTTGTTGAAGAACCCTCAAGGGGCCAAAGAGCCACATGTGGCTCTAGAGCCGAGGTTTGCCGACCACTGGCTTAAACCATCCAGTCCCTAATCGATACAGAGAAAAGACTGATGGTTGCCAAAGGGAAGGGCGTTTGGGGACTGCGTAGAAAAGGTAAAGGGATTAAATACAAATTGGTGAAGAACCTGGCCCCTGAAGCCAGACTGTGGCTAGCTTATTAGAGAATTTTTAACTTTTATTATGTAGTAACATATCTCAAATATCCAAATAGTAAATAATATGGAACATTTAGGTCTGAATCCTATTCCTACCATTTGCACAAAGTTCCTTTACTTCTCTGTATCTCAGTCTCTCCATCTGCAAAGGTGGGAACAATAACATACCTTCCTATCAGGCCACTTAGAAGAAGGCCTGATAGGAAGGAAATGTTCACTAAGTGTCAACTATTAGTGTTATTATTACTTAAACTCTCCCAGACCTGCCTCACACTTTACCTGTGCACTAAGCCCACTGAGTCAGGCTCTGCTCCCCAAGTAAAGCCTGAAACAGCCCAATCCTCTGCTTATACCTGGGGAGGTAAGTTCACCTCAAGGCAAAAGAAATAAGAAGCCCACTGACAGATGGATGCAGGCCCCATGTTCCTATCTAGCATGACCAGCAACACAGCTGCCATCTAGATTCCCAGTTGGCTCCCAAGAATGTCTTCCAATTAATTAGTGTGAACTCCAAGAAAAAACAGTGATTCTAACCGGTACTGCCAAACACCTAAAGATGCATGAGACTGCTACCTCGAAGAACACAAGTCACACAAATAAGTCCAGAAATGAAGGGGACAGGAATATTCCCTAAATGGCAAGAGGAAAAGAGACACCAAAGAGGATAGAAATGTAGTTTACATGTAGAGGTACATACATCCCTGCATATGAACTAACTCTTGTCAATGAAGAAGAGACTGTGTACAAGACTAGAGCACATTTACATGACACCAATATGTCCTACATAAATGATACTGATGAGCCTATCTAAGAATGAATATACAGGTACACAGAATAAAAACCATTTTAAAGTTATCTCTGTAGCTGTTATACTAAAGAAACACAAGTTTTTTAAGGATTTGAAAAACCCTGATTGGTGACTGACTTGAATCAACCCTTGAGGTCCTTCTGCCCCAAGTTCAGTTCCTGGGGATGGGCAGTGAGTCAAAGCACTTACTACAGAATTCTGCGTACTCAGCTGGCAGCAGGAAGGTCTGAGGGAGGATGTGGAAAGCCTTGAATCCATGCGTATGCTGCATCCGAATGATGTTTTTGTACAGTCGGTCCTTCCGGGTTAGTTCATATGACCTAAAAATCATAAAAGTACTTCCATTTCAGTCAATTCCAACTCAGAGGTGATCCAGTGTTATCACACCCTGCAGAGTTCATGTTCACGGTTCCAGAGCAGTCACTGAGAACAGTAGATCCCAAACCTATCACTGTCAACCCCAAAGATTTTTTCATCATTTTCATGAAATGGATTTCTTTGGTCAGGTTTAGTCATTAAGGTATACATTATGTACAGTAAAATTTGCCTCTTTTTTAGTGAATTATTCTGAATTTGAACAAACACATACAGTTATGTAACCACCACCACAATCAAGGACACATGAGCTGTTTCCACTTTTTGGAGATTATGAATAAAGTCACTATAAGTAATTGTGTATAGGTTTTTATTTATTATTACTTTTTAATCCTCGTCCAAGAATAAACTTTTTTATTTGATTTTAGAAAGAGAGGAAGAGAGCAGGAGAGAAAGAGAAACATCAATGTAAGAAACACTGATAGGTTGCCTCCCAACTGGGGATTGAACCCACAATTTAAGTTACGTGCCCTGACCAGGAATTGCCCTGACCAGGAATTGAACCCGCAACATTTTGGTGTATGGAACAATGCTCCAACCAACTGAGCTACCCAGCCAGGGCATGGATTGTACTTTTATTGTTATCTCTAAGAACTCTTTACCTAATCCAAGATCTCAGAGATTTTCTCCTATGTTTTCTTCTAGAAGTTTTAGTTTTAGGTTTTATATTTAAATCTATGACAATGTCAGGTGCCTTTAAAAGGAGCAAAGTGGCTACAAGAGCATTACCTGGGAAAATGGTTAACCTTTTGTGCTTCAGAGAGGGTGCGAAGTAAGAAGGGCTTCAGGTGGGATCCTGTCCACATTAGGTTATAGTCAGTGCTGCTTGGGTGAACCTGAAGACAGATAAAAGGACAAGATAAAACACGTCAGAGATAACCCCTCTCCAGGAAGAGCCATGCAGAAAAGGCCAGAGAGATTTTTCATCCACAGAGTACTCATGGGGGGCCCAGTTAGGATGTGAGCCTAGCAAGACAAAAGTTAATACATAGAACATGGGGATAATCAAGTTTAAAGAATTGGAAATTGGGAAAATCCCAGACATAAAAAATAGAATAGCCTGCTACTGTGGCTCAGTGGATGAGCACTAACACATGCACCAAAAGGTCACTGGTTCGATTCCTGGTTAGGAACATGCCCAGGTTGTGGACTTGATCCCAAGTAAGAGGTGTGCAAGAGGCATCCAATGGATGTTTCTCTCTCATCTATGTTTCTATCTCTTCCTCTCCCTCCCTCTCTCTCTAAAAATCAATAAAACATATTTTTAAAAGTAGAATAAATTAATCCTTCTATAGAAGTCCACAATATCTCTTAATATTTTTGCATATCAAAGTATGAGAAAAGGGCCCAACTCCAAAACTCCCTTTTCAGAGTAACCTTTTGTTCTTGCAGATGCTACATATAAAGTACTGATCAGAAGTAAAAACTTATATAGTAGCAAACCAACTTAGAATCCACTCATTCGGTCATTCATAATAATTTATTTGTACATTCATTAAACAATTATGTATTCTGTGCCTATGATGTGGTAGGTGCCAATTAAGACCTGGAGATAAAATAGCAGCAAGACAATATAAACTGGTATCAGAATTTCAAAATGCCTACTTAGACTTCAACCTAGGATAAAGAGCTAGCAAGCATACCTTTATCAACTGTCTCAAAATCTCTACAGTGGTCCTTGACAGTTTTGGCTCAATGGATAAACTCCAGCCCTTGGACTAAAGGGTCCTGGGTTCAAGTCCAGTCAAGGGCACGTATCTCAGTTGCAGGCTTGATCACCGGCGAGGCAACCAATCAATGTGTCTCTCTCACATAGATGTTTTTCTTTCCCTCTGTCTCTCGCCTCTCTTCCACTCTCTCTAAAAACCAATGGAAAAATATCCTTGGGTGGGGATTAACAACAACAAAAATCCCTACAGTGGAAATCTGTCCAGCATTTTTGCCTGTCCCTTTTAGTGTCAATATCCCAATTTTCCCCCTTTACTTGGGGAATCACATACTCTTTGGTTTTAAAGGACCTGCCAATCATCTGTCCCTCTCTCCTCCAAGAAGTGAATCCATGACCCAAGCTGGGCTAGTCATTCTATCTTCAGAATATGGTTCTTGAGTGAAGAAAAGCACAAGGACAACAAATAGAGTTGAGTCACTTCTACTTCAATGCCTTCAGGAGATGGTCCTGAAGCTTCTTGTCCTAGATTCCTGGAGCTGTCCCGTCTCCCTCCTTCCAAAGGCTGCCTCTTCAGTTTTTCCTGATTCTGCTAACCATCTTAAGTACACTTTTCCTACAAATCCCTTTTGGTTTAAGTTAAGACAGTCTGTTTCTGTTGTTTGCAATCAAAGAACCTTAATTGGGTAACAAACAATTCCTTATGGGCAACTGTGCCTCTAGTCTAAGCTTATAAACTTAGCACGTAAAAAAAAAAAGAAAGAAAAAAAAAAAGCTTTTTTTCCCTTGTATTGCATGGAATTCAATGCAAGTTCTCCCATCACCACTAAGCATTGGTCTCATGTACTTTCTAGTGTTGGCATGGGTAAGTAACTGAGAGTCAGGTGGCTAGGATTTTCAGCTTCTGGACAGATTAGGTGAGGTAGTCAAAATGAACTTACTTCATGAAATCCATGGGCTGTCAGAATGCTGCGTACCAGGCGACTATCTGTTCGCACAATCTTGTAAGACAAATGATAACGTTCTAAAGAAAAACACAGAATCAAGTTCAGTAACCAGAAAGTTCACTGTAGAGACAGAAATAAACTGATTAACCCCTTCAATGGTAACATATGTAGCTTGCCCTACTGTCAGAAAATTACAGCTGTACTGTTGAATATGGTAGGCACTAGTCATGTGTAACCACTGAGCACTTGACTAGTGTGAGAGAGTAACTGATTTTTTTAAAATTTAACTTTAATTAATTTAATTCAGTTGGAAAACTTGTCTGGAACAACCTGAGTATAGAAATTGATTTTTCAACTATAACATTTATGGAACATATGTTTTCATGGATTTCAGAGAGAGAGAGAGAGAAACATCAATTATGAGAAACATCAATTATGACAATCATCAATCAGCTGCCTCCTGCATGCCCTCTACTGAAAATCAAGCCCACAACCCGGGCATGTGCTCTGACTGGAAAATGAACAGTGACTTCCTGGTTCATGGGTCAATGGCTGACCACTGAGCCGTACCAGCTGGGCTCATTTATGGAATATAAATTCAGATCAAGTACTCCTAATAAAAATTTTACACCATACTAACATGTGCTATAAATGTAAAATACACAGGATGTAAACTACCTCAGTGATTTTTTTCATAATGAGTAAATGTGGAAAAGGTATTTTGGATTAAACAAAATATATTAAAACTAATCTCACCTATTTCTGTTTACTTTTTTAATGAGGCCTAGAAATTTTACATATGTAGTGTACCTCATATTTCTATAGGTTGCTGGGCTATACAAATGCAAATTATGAAACTGACACATTAGAGGCAAATTATAAAATTATACTTCATTCTATAAAAGATTAAACTGAAAATATCTGTTGCCTATAAAACGACATCCCATTTACATGTTCAGTTTTGTCGGAGGAACAAAGGATCGAGTGAGGGGAAGAAATATGTTCCTAGAATATTTAACAAAGCATATGAAATCATAGTGTACCAAAAATTTTAACAGTGAATGCAATGAAACATTTACTAGATAACAGAACAAACAAGGCTGGCACCAAACATGAGATCAACAGAAGATAACTAATGCCCCAGATACACTTCCCAAGAGGATTTAACCACAGGATTATGATCTCAGCAGACCTATGTCAGCTATTTAGGAGAGCAGAGAGGAAAAAATAGGCCAAGAATGTTCAACAATTCAGAAATCTGAGGCAACAACTACAAAAGTCACTTAAACTGTTCTTCACATAACAGAAGGTGAAAAAAAAATTATTAAACAACAAGGAATGAGGAAGATAAAGAAAATTCAAAAACAGAATTTGAGGGAAAAAAATTTAGTGGCTTTTTCTTTAATCAAAGGAATGTGGGGAAGAAAAAAAAAAAAAAAAAGAGCCTAAAATCTTACAGGTTCTAGAAAAGTCATTGCTTGAGTAATGGAAATATTACATTGATGGGTGCTAATTTCCAGTATATGTTAGGTATTCTAAAAAGGAAGGGTCTGCTCAGCCAGTGTATCTCAGTAATAGAGTGTTGAAATATGAACCAGAAGGTCACGGTTCAATTCTCGTTCAGAGCTCATGCCTGGGTTATCAGCTCGATCCTAGTTTGGGATGTGTAGGTAGCAGCAGATCAATGATTCCCTCACATCGCTGATGTTTCTATCTCTCTTTCCCTCTCCCTTCTTCTCTAAAATCAATAAAAATATATTTTAAAAAAAATAAAAAAGATGTGTCTGCTCATTGCCATGAAATATATAAATTTATGTGACAAGCACCTCAAAAAAAAGTAAGTTTGGAAGGAATTATTTACTTCTGTTTTTTTCAAACCAACATTTGACATTTTGACTCCTGTCATATTTTGATTTTGAGGGTGTTTCTCAGTAAACGTTAGCAACTCTTCAGTTGCTCAGAATTCAGAGAATATAAATGAACCATGTCCCTTTAAGTGGTAACCTAGCAACTTGCTGAGGGTATTATAACACAAGGATCCCTAGGAAGAGAGGAATATTCAATCCCACCATCTTCTTAAACCCTTGGCTCATTATGGCAAGGACAGACCTTAAATTAATCTCGAAGTACAGCAGGTTCTATTCAACAAGTAAAGTAAGTTTTGAGTGTGTACTATGTGCCAAACATTTAGTAACATGTATTTCTCACAATGCCTGCAAAATAGGTATTATCTCCACTTTATTAGCAATGAAATGAGATAAGATGGCTTCACAGATGAATTTTATCAAACATTTAAAGAACGAACAACAATCCTTAAAACTCCCCCAAAGAGAAGGGAGCTCATTCTCTGAGGCTAGCATTACCCTGATACCAAAGCTAGATGAAGGTATCACAAGAAAACCACAAACCCATATCTCTTATAATTACTATGTGAAATTATCAACAAAATACTAGCAAACCAAATCCAGCAGCATATTAAAAGACAACACCATGACCACATGGGATTTTTCTCAGGAATGAAAAAGCCAATCAATGCAATCCACCACATTAAGAGAATGAAGCAAACAAAACAGAATCATCTTAAATGATGTAGAAAAAGCATTTTACAAAATCCAACACCCTTGCATGATAAAAAGAAAACAAAACAACAACAAAAAACAACACACACTCAATGAAAGACTAGAAGGGGATGTTTTCAACATGCTAAAGGGAATTCTGCAAAGCCCACAGCTAACATCATACTCAATGGTGAAAGACTGGAAAGCATTCCCCTTAAGATCAGGAACAAGACAAAGATCCACCTTTCACCTCTTCTACACAACACTGTACTAAAAGTCCTAGTCAGTGGTCGGCAAACTCATTAGTCAATAGAGCCAAATATCAACAGTACAACAATTGAAATTTCTTTTGAGAGACAAATTTTTTAAACTTAAACTTCTAACGCCACTTTTTCAAAATAGACTCACCCAGGCCATGGTATTTTGTGGAAGAGCCACATTCAAGGGGCCAAAGAGCCGCATGTGGCTCGTGAGCCACAGTTTGCTGACCATGATCCTAGTCAGAGCAATTAGGCAAGTAAAGTAACAAAAGGCATCCACGTTGTAAGGAAAGAAGAAAAATGGTCTCTACTGGCAGATGACATGATCTTATATACAGTATAGACAATGCAAAAAGAACCCCCAACACACACAAAACTGTTATAGCTAATAAATGAGTTCCGCAAGATTTCAGAATATAAGGTCAATATACAAAAATCTACACACTGATAATTAACAACCCAAAAATAAAATAGAGAAAACAATTCAATTTATAATAGTACCAAAAAGAATAAATTATGTAGGGATAAATTTAACCAAAAAGCTTTAGGACTTGTACACTGAAAACTATAAAACACTACTAAAAGAAATTAGAGAAGATCCAAATAAATGGAAAGACATCCCTTGTTGGTAGACTGGAAAACTTTTAAGAGGATAATACTCCCAAAAGCAATTTATAGATTCAATGCATTCCTTATCAAAATTCCAAAGGCCTTTTTGCTGGTATTAGAAAGCTTTATCCTAAAATTCATATGGCATTGCAAGGGACTCTAAATAACAGAAAATAGAAAATCTTGAAAGGGAAGAATGAAGTTAAAGGAATCACATTTTCCAATTTCAAAACTTCATACAAAAGTACAGTAATTAAAATGATAGGTACTGGTATAAGGCTAAACATACAAATCAATGGTCTATCAAGAGCCCAGAAATAAACCCATACATCTACAGACAACTGATTTCAACAATAGTTCCAAACGCATTCAATAGAGAAATAAGAGTCTCTTCAATTAACAGTCTCTTCAATTAACTATATTGGACAACTAGATACACATACGCAAAAGAGTGAAGATAGATCCTTACCTCACATTATGTGACAAAAGTAATTCAAAATGGATCAAAGGCCATTTATCTCCAATACAAGAGCTTAAACTATATAACTCTTAGAATAAAGCATGGGGATCATGACCACGGGGTAGGCAATGGTTTCATAAATATACCAAAAATATAAGCAACAACAGAAAATAACAGACAAATTAGATGTTATCAAAGTGAAAACCTTCAGCTCATGAAAAAATACTATCAAAAAAGTGAATCGACAAATCACAGAAAAATATTTGTAAATCATATATCTAATCAAGTTCTAATATTCAGAATGGTTAATGAATTCTTATTACTCAACAACAAAAAGACAAGCAACCCAATTAAATAGGCATTTCTTGAATAGGCATTTCTCTAAGGAAGATATACTAATAACTAACAAGTACATGAAAAGATTCTCTATGTTGTCCAGCCGGGGGTTGAGCGTCAACCCATTCACCAAGAGGTCCCTGGTTAATTCCCAGTCAGGGCACATGCCTGGGTTGCAGCTCAATCCCCAGTAGAGGAATACAGGCAGCAACCAATGGAGTTTCCATCTCTCCCTCTGCTTTCTTCTCTCTCTAAAAATAAATAAAAATATATATTTTTTAAAAGATGCTCTATGTCATTAGTCATTATGGAAATACAAATCAAAACCACAATAAGATATTTCACATCCACTAATACAATGATAATATAAAAAAACAAAATAAACATTACTGAGAATGCAGAGAAATTAGAACTCTTATATATTGTTGATGGAAATGTAAAACAGTGCAATCGTTGTGGAAAACACTTTGGCAGTTCCTTAATACATTAAACATAGAATTACCGTACAATATAGCAATTCCATTCCTAAGTATATATCCAAAAGAATTGAAAAACTAATGTTCAAGCAAAAACTTAAACATTTTAATGTCCACAGCAGCACTCTTTACAATAACCTACAGGTAGAAACTATTTACAATAACCTAAAGGTAGAAATCAGTTGGTGAATGGATAAACAAACGTGGTATATGCATACATGGAATATTATTCAGCCATAAAAAGGAAGGAAATACTGCCCTGGGTGGGGGGCTCAGTTACCCCTGAGTGTTGTCCTAATACCCCAACGTGGTGAGTTCAAGCCCTGGTCAGGGCACATACAAGAATCAACTAATGCATAAATAAGTGAACAACAAATTGATGTTTCTCTCTTCCCTTCCTCTCTCTCTCTTCCACTCACTCCCCTTTCCTCTCTCTCTAAATTAAATCAATAAATTTAAAAAAGAATGAAGTACTGACACATGTACAATATGACTGAACCTTAAAAATATGCTAAGAGAAAAAAGCCAGACACAAAAAGTCACATATTATATGACTCCATTTATATAAAACTAAAGGCCCAATGCGCAAAATTCACTCAAGAGTAGGCCTTTGCAGTTGTGGTGGCTGCCTGGATCCCTCCCTCACAGCCAGAGTGGCTATAGCCCCAGTGGTTTCAGTCCCGATTTCTGGAAGGTAGTTCAGAAGGATGTCTGATGGCCGTTTGGTCAATTTGCATATTACCCTTTTATAATTATAGATATCCAGAAGAAGTGAGTTCATCAAGACAGAAAGTAGGGTAGGGGCGGTCAGGGGCTGGGTATTAACTACTTAATGGGCACAGGGTTTACTTTTGGGATGATAAAAATGTTCTGAAACCAGATAATGGTAATTGTTGCACAACACTGTAAATGTACTAAATGCCACTGAATTGTGCACTCTAAAACAGTAAGTTTTGTTTTGTATATTTTTTTTAATATATTTTATTGATTTTGTACAGAGAAGAAAAGAGAGAGATAGTTAGAAACATCGATGAGAGAGAGTCATCGATCAGCCGCCTCTTGCACACCTCCTACTGGGGATATGCCCGCAACCAAGGCACACGCCCTTGACCGGAATCAAACCCGGGTCCCTTCAGTCCCCAAGCCGACACTCTATCCATTGAGCCAAACCGGTTTCAGCTGTTTTGTATATTTTAACTGATAATAAAATAACTGATAATAAGCACATGTATACTTAACTCTGAAAAAAAATTCAAAAGGAAAAAAAAATATGCAGAAAACAATTCCAGAAATGCTAATAATCCTTTCAAGTATAATAAATATAGTCTTCTCACGGCCAAGGCCATTTCTCTATCTATAGTTGTTAATTTCTGCAGGACAAGGTTGCAAGGGCCATGCCCCAGCCCTACCATCTGTGGGGAAGTCATACTCACCTCCAATTACTCGAATATTGTTGTCCTTGGTCAGAATTGCCTCGGCATGGAATACCAAAATTGGAATTCTCCTGCAGCCTCCAGTCCACATGATACATGGATGATCCCTACAATCATAGCAAAAAGCTTTATTAATTTACAACTCAAAATCTGAATTAACTGCTGAAGCAGATAAATACGGTTGGCTGCTTAAAATCTTACCCTCCTTCTGAAACAAGAACCCTAAATGTCCTATGGGAAACATTCATTTTCCATTTTTAGCCATGTGGTTTGTTTAAAATTAATTCCATCACTGATCCCGGGACGAGTCTTGACTGGCTTCAGCCAATTAGGACATTCTATCCCCCAGTTATAGTGGCTGTTTCAGGGATGAGCACATAAGCCAATTGGAGCCAAGTGAAGGTCAGGTGACATGTGGTGAGACCCTCTGACAAAGCAATGCTTTTTCTCTTCTCTGGCAGCTACAGAAGAGATGGACTCTCTTCCCCTTGACGGTGTAAGAGACTGAGAGGACTGGAAGTGCTATTATCATTCTGTGATCTTGACATCTCCTAGAGTCTGGAGATGCTAGAAAGGAGGAAGTCAGTGGGAGCTTGATTAAAAGGAGAGAAATGAGATGCTGAGTGGCACACTTAGAGCTGCAGAATCAAGCCTTCCCTAAATATGAATGAATGAAGTCCCTTTATTTTTAAGACAAAAAATAACAATTATGTTTTAGTCCCCAGTATACATAAAGAATCCTAACAAATAGATTCACAGTAATTTATATATCCCTTTGAAACCCTATAGTCATTTTTTTAAATGTTTTTTATTGATTTTAGAGAAAGAAAAAGGGAGAGGGAGAAAGAAACAGCAATGATGAGAGAGAATCATCCATTGGCTGTATCCTGTGTACCCCCTACTGGGGATCGAGCCCAAGACCAGGGCATGTGTCCTGATGGGGAATCAAACCATGACCTGATTCATGGATCAATGCTCAATCACCCACTGAGCCACACCAGCCTTTAGAGTCATTTTTTAAGGTAATTTGATGACCCATCTTAAAATTCTGAGCTAGGAAACCAAATTATTACCAGTACCCCAATTAAAACCACATATTTTAAATAAAGCCTTACTAAATGCAAAAACAGATATTTTCCTCCCGAGAAGGATCTCTTGCGTTTTTTCTTTCCTTAGCCTCATAAAATCTCAGTTTAATCAATTTACGAACAGATTAGGAAACTTGAACCTTCTCAGTGCAGGAAGGTATAACGGGAAAGAAATTACCTGAGTACCTACTATGTGCCAGGAAATAAACTAAGAGCGTTCATGCTATCTCACTTACTCCTATTGTCCCCACTATGAACTGAGGAAAAGGTGTTCAGAGAGGTGTTAAGTAATTTGCCCAAGATTGAGTAAAGGAAAGATATATGAACCCAAACATCTGTGCTCTTTCCACCCTTCCATCACCCTGATTACATTTTGGTGATGTTTTATATATGGAACACCTTAAACTCAACTCTTTGGGAACTTAAACTATTAAATTTATTAAATGGAATAAGACACACTGAGCCAAGATTCAGTTCCCTCTCAAAAAATCACATGGCCACATCCTTAACCACAAATCTCAAGGCCAAGTCAGACCCTCCCAACCCAAGTTTAAAAATATACATACTTTGAATGAATAGGCTGCAGACTACCAATTTTTAGAAGGCAGCCTTTAGACTTGAGAATGAGCTGCCAAAAGCCTTTTAGTGAGAAAAGCAGAGAACACCATACCTAGCTCATTTCCTGCTTTGTAGAAATGGAATGTGGATGCTTCAAGTCCTTGCTTTGACCTGGCTGATTGTGCCCACTTGTGAGAAATGCTGTTTTACAGGGTGCATTACTTGGCAAAGATTTTTTTTATTTTGCTAGCTTTTTTAATCTTAAATACCTATAATATGGTGGGTAAGGGGTCAAGCTATTCCTGTGATCTCTTCCAATTTTAATTTTTCCACTATATTTCTAAGTCAGAGGATAGAGGGGGAAAAAATAGGCTGCCTATCCAAAGTCTTGGATAGAAACTCTGGAAACTATAGAAACTCTGGCAACTATCCAAAGTTCCTTGTCAACCTGGCATTAGCTACAAACTGACACCACTATGCCTTATCACTTACACACAATGGATCTCTGCGATAAGGCAAGGCAATCAGAACACACACAGCAGGTGCAAGCTGAGAAGAGCCAAGGCCCAACTACACTCTGTGGAAAGCCACATCCCTGAAGGAGAAATCTCTTCACTTACAACCCATAACAGAGATAAAAGAAGTAGTAGACAAGTTATTAATTCAATAAGGTCAACTACAAAATACTTAAGGCAGATGCTCAATTGCCATGCTCCCACCAGGTGGTGCTAAAGGAAAAAGATTCCTCCGATTAAGAAATTAAAAATTGGGACCTTAAATTTTCTTTTGCACCAGAAACTGGAATAGATTAAGAAAATATGCCTTACAGGCATGAAAGGACAGCATATTTGAATGATTAATTATCAAAGAAGGCCAGTTTTATGGTTGACTTTTTGAGAACCTAAGAACGCTTTGGGTTTTAAGAAGCAATTTCATGAGAAATATATTATTCTTCACTCCTGGGATGCAGCCTACATAACTCAAAACTTCCATGCCTTATTAATGCCACTGTCCCTGCTGGAAATGCCTTCCCCGAGTCTCTGTACATTCAATCCCACGCTCTAAGGCCTTGCCCCGCTCCCCCAACCCCGAATGATGCCTTCCTTCTCTCCTGGAACACTCACTGTATTATATAATTACTTGTTGATGATCTTTTATTTTTTCCAAGTAAATGTTGATGATCTTTTCAACTGACACAAAGCCAGCTTTTATTAGAGAAATTAAAGTTACTATTTTTTCAGTGACAAAAGCAGCATCAAATCCTTTTATGAAAGTTTCTGTTTATATATAAATTTGTATTTGGGACCCCCAAGCAAAATATAGAAAAAAGAACCTCCTTTACATTTACCATTTGAAATAATGCCATGCAAAACAAGGACTGCCTGGACAGTTTCTATTCCTAAAGTCCAGGCATTAACTACAGTCAAGGAATTGAGAAGATCTAACAGATGTCCTTGGATATGCATCTTAGGATCAAATCAACTTCCTTAGATGATTTAAGGCCTTCTAACTTCCAAAAAATTTTAAATGTAACCCTGTTGCTCTAAGTGTGAACAAGACTGACTTAAGATTCCTAATGTATAAAACAAGTGTCTAACAGACAAGATGAGCTGATGGAGCAAGATTAACCATTCAAATTCAATAGTAAGAGTGTGAAAGAAAGCAAAACAAAAAAAATAAACTTCAAAAGGTCCATGAATTTGGATGTGGGAGACAGGGGAAATGGGGGAGGGGGATATTACACTTTATTTCACTAATTTTTACTAGAAATTTAACCTCTCTCAATTATTAATATAGGCGGCAAAGCACAGTATTATATTATTAGAATGGTCCGAAATTAGATTTTTATACCATTTTACAGTTGATGCCAGCATATTAAAACATCACTTACATTTATCACTACTTCTAAGATGTGTTAGTTACTAAACCTGCCACTAGATACCTGTGATCACAGTCTTCCTCATCTGGTGTGATGAGGCTGGACAATGACTTAGCATCTCTCCTCCAAGCTACCAAGTGGTGACATCATACATTGGTAGTCCAGACATGTATAAAGGTCCCAGCATTCCCCACTTCTAAGTGTTAATCAAAGATCACACCACAGTGTAATGATCTTACACAAACTAAGCAAAAACAGTCTTCATGCTGCTGTCTTTAGAAAATAAAACTTAACTTCCCCATGTTTTAAATGAGTAATCTTGTTATTTAATGTATAAGAAAGCACAAAAGAAAACAAAACTGTAAATAATGTATAAGGAAGCACAGCTTACTCTATCACAAGTAACTTTTTAAATAATTTGATAACCGAATTTCAATGTAATTGGTAATTTTTATGACACATATTTAATTTTAAAGTACTTAAATCTATTTCTGACAAGGGACCCACAACATTCAAAAGGTTAAGAACGTCTGATCTAATGTGATCTAAATCATACATTTGTTTGTTCACTCATTCGGTCAGTCGGTCAGTCAGCAAGTATTTATTGAGTTCCTACTATAATACTAGGTTGAACTATTTGAAATTGTCAATATTTGACTGGTTTTGACCTACTAAAATGGCAATTTCATGAGGTTCAAACTAATATAATACATCCTTGTCAGGCCCAACCTCTAACCCCACTAAGAAGGAAAATATTTATGGAGTAAAACAAGGATCTTGAAATTAGAAAGAGTGATGCTTGGAGAAGTTAAAATTTTATGAAATGAGTAGGAGGCAGCACACAGAAAGCAAGAAGTCATAGGAGGCAAATAGCCAGAGGGAATTGTCCATTTAATTATCCTGAATGAGGATGACCCAAATATAATGTCAAATCTCTGTTATTTTCTACAACCTAACAGTGATGAGAAGCCTTTCCTCAAAGCTTTATTAATGCTTCAATAATTTTCTCAAATTATATCAAATAATGAAATCTTCCACTTTGTAATAATAAGTCCACTTTAAGCTCAATATTAAAGCAAGTAAGAATAGTATCTTATATGTGTACAACACTTAACAATTTACAAAGTAATTTCATAGACATTATTCTATTTGTTCGTAAACACACTCCTACAAAATAGCCTGAGAGATATCATCCCCATTTTTCAGGTGACACAGCACATATCCAAGGGGACCTGCAGAAAATCTTAAAAACTATTCTTAACTGTAAGCCAGCTTTTCTCTTTGTTCTCTGTCAAGTAATAAGGTTGGAGGAGGCAGAACAGCAAAGTGCTACAAAATTCCGTAAAACTAGGTCTGAATCTCAATCCATCACTTACTCTCTACACATCCTTGAGAAAGTCCTTTGGTATTTATGAGGACAAATTTAATCAAGTGGGAATAATAGCATCTTCAGATTAAATGAAGTACAGTACTTAAAGCCCATATAATCATCTACAGCAGCTGCTCTTAACACTAGCACTTACATTTTTATTATTCTGAGTCCCTTACATAAAAGAACTCAGGAAAGCACTATGGTTCAACAGACCCAGCAAAGGCTATAGCATTCTAATGTAAGGCCCCACAATGACTCTGGTAAGCCACTTGACCTCTTTCTATTATCATCACTTCATCATTGTAAAAAATTTTGAGAAAGTAACATAACCAGTATCACAGTGTTTGGAGACCTACTTTTCTTCACTATCTAAGCATTTCAAAATCTCCTATGTTAGAAGCTCTGATCAGAAGTTTACTAAGAGCTCCTAGCTGGAACACCTAGAACCAGTGTTTGGTCACACACAGAGCCTTATTATCTCATGTCAGATAAGGACGAAATAAGATTTTTAGTTAGATCATGGATAGAAGCTAAAACCAGAATCAGGCAACACCCAAAGGAAGGATATTGGGTAAAACAATGTGTGTAAGTAAACAAGAACTATTTTCCCAGCCTAGAGGCAAAGGTTCAAAAGCAGGCTGGCTACTACTTACTCTTGGCCTATCACCTCCTCATCCTCTGAGGAAGATGCTGTTTCCTCCAGGTCCCGGGCCATCACGATTGGCATTTCCTTTAGGGTTTGTCATGCAGTCAGCAGACGGGGGTCCTCAGAGACCTTTCTTTGCAGAGTCACTGGATCAAACAATTTGGGTGACACAGATACCTGTAGGAAAGCCACATGATCTGAATCACCATGTAAGGTCTATTTGTTCATGATAGCTGATGATCTTCCAAGCAATGAAAATGAAGAATCTTTACTTCACTAGTGTTCAACCTCTAGGTGCTTACCTTCTATCACAGTGCCTCACATATGCCCCCAAATCGAGTTTTGTGTGTGTGTGTGTGTGTGTGTGTGTGTGTGTTGTTGTTTTTTTGTTTGTTTGTTTTTGCCCAAACATACTGTCTGTCCACTGTGTATCCGAAGAACTGTTACTAAGTTTGAGTTTTTCATGTTTCTTTTATATACAGTATCGAACATGCACCAAAAGGACAGACTTATCTAACTTTTAGGGAAGTCTGAGATAGGAGGGTGGTTGCCTGAAACATACATTCCTTGCTGTTAAAACCTGACCTGGGTTCAAAGTAAAAAACTCAAGATTTAAAATACTTGTAAATATTTATGTGGCCTCTACGACAAACGCACAGATAAAATGCCGTCAGGTTTTCACTAAAATTCAACTACTGAGCCAAAAGATGAATAATCTCCGGAATCGAGGTCATAAATAACCGGGGAGAAAAAAAAATGTCCTTCCAAACACTCAAAAACGGCTGTCCCTTGCTAAAAATCACAAACCATGAATTGAATCTCAAAAAGACATTAACAAATGTGGATGTTTTCCATTTCTAACTTAAAATTTATCCAGGGGGTAAAAGTATATGTTTGCTGTGTTTGCCTAAGGAATAGAAAATAGATCAAGAAAATGAAAACATGTAAAGGATCATAATCCTACAATTCAGAGATAACCACTTGATGTAAAGCTCTCTAAACCTCGTTTTGTTATGCATTCCCAGATACGGTAAAAATTATAAACGGAACCAAAAATGCCGGCCCCCCGATAATGATCCCTAGAGATCTCCAGCGGAATGGGCAACATCGAACAACCCCCAAAGGCGTTCTTCCGAGGATCCCCAATGGGATGTTCTCCATCTTCCCCAAACGTTGGCACGTCCTTTCCATTAAAACTGTCTGTACCAGGCTGCCTGCAGAGCGGGGAGAGACCGGACAGGACGTTCGCAATAAGGTGAAGGACACTCGCCCAGCAGCTAAAGGGATCAGCCTCTCAGCCCGACCCCCTGGCTCTCACCCCAAAGCCGGGCAGGTCCGCCGATGCGCCCCCGCGGGAAGGGCGCGGGCAGCTCCGCCGCAGCGCCTCAGCCCAGCGCGCCCGGAAACCTACCGCAGCCCCCGGACTCCGAGCGGGAAATGCAGCGGACGGCGCCCGCCCAGACCCGGGAGCGCACCTCCCTCGGGTGGGGGAGCGCGCCAAGCGCAGGCGTTTACCTGTCTCATCTTCCCATGGCTCGGGGCGGGCCGGCGGGGAGCGCGCTCTGCGCCTACCTCCCTCCTCCTTCCCAGCCCGGCTCACGGCGGCCGCGGACGGCTGCTTCCCCGGTTACTACAACAACCAACCAGCAACCGCCCGCTCGGGGCCACTGCGCAGGCGCCCGCCACCCGGCGCCCACAACGCTCCGGGCTGCGGGCGCCGACGGATGTCGTCACCCCCGCGCAGCGCGGGCTCGGTGACCACTCTCAGCAGCGGGAGAATCTCGACTTCTTTTCCCCCCGTTTCTCCCGTCCGCTCGCCCCTAACGGGTTGAATCCGAGGCCGGAGCTCTTCCGCCACGCTCCGCAGGCGGGTGGGTTCGCGGGGCGGGCGGTGTACCCCTGCAGACACCTGGGCAGTGGCTACCGCTGATTGGCAGCAAAGGGGTTCACGCCCCATCTCCTGCTTGAGCAGAATCGAAACAGCCAATCAGAGCGAGGAATGACAGGAGTGGCCCAATCCTGGAGCCGGGTGAAGGCGGGGGCGGGGACAAGTGATTCGGGTGGGCTCCTGGCTGCAGCTTTTTTCAGGGTTGTATCTTTGCTGCTGTAGCTGCTGCTGCTGGTTGGGATCCGGTCGCCAGGTGAGCCTATTCCTTGAGATAGTATTTTTTTTTTTTAATCTCCAATTCGCATGTGAGGAAACCTAGGTTGTAAAATGTAAATGATTTGTCCAGGGTCATACAGCTACTAAATGGTAGGGCCAGGATAGGAACGCCTCTCTTCTGACTCAGGTTTCACCACCACACCTGCCTGGGCAAAATCTGAGAATCGGTGTTGGATACTCTGTAGGCCCTCAAGCTTTAGGGAAATGGGTCGAGGGAGTGGGGGAGCAGTTCAGAAGAATGCTCAGGCTCACCCCTCATCAGCTAACTGTTGGAATGTCTAAGAGCTTCTGTGAAATGAAAGGCATACGTTGTCAAAATGAGGGGGCCATCCATGCAGCTTTTCTGACCTTTAGAAGAGTCTCCTTTTGAGGGAGAGTAAGAAAATAGGAAGGAGGATGGGGGTGGGGTGAGGGTCGGGGAATCTTGGCCCAGGATGTAACTAACTGCTTGTGATATTCGTAGAACCATATTCTCTCTAGATTTGGACAAAGCCCACAGTGTGATCCACCTTTCCCTGAGGGATTCCTCCATTCATCATCCTTCCTCTCTAGATTTTATTGTTGTTGTTGTTGTTTCTTGGTGCTTCACACTGTCTTGAGCCATGGCTGACTTTACTGTCTGTTTCATCTGGGTAGTGTAGGACCATACTGAAACTTTTACTGCCAGAGTGACAAAGGAAGCCTGATAGTTTGTCACCACTTCAAGCCCAAGAAGTTAACCTGACAGCAGATAAACCATGGGCCAAAAAACCATAATGAAGGTGGGAAGAAATCATTCCATTATTAAATTCTTTATCTACATGGGTTTTATTTAAGTCAAGCTCATTAGAATCAATGCTCAGCAAGGGTTAATCTAAGCTTTTTTTTTTTAAGTGCATAATCTAATGTCATTTTTCTGTACAACTTCAAGACACAGTGGGGATGGTGTGCTTGTCTTCCTCAAGCATGGAAACTTCATCAAAATATTCTCAAAACAGTTGAGGCAGTATTGCAATGTAGATACGAAACAGACCATGCTTCGTATCTCAGTTGGCCATATATTAGCGGTAAAACTTCAAGCAAATCACTTAACCCCTCTGCCAACCCTCATCTATAAAATGGAAATATTAATAATGTCTACAATATATGTTAAGTGCTTGTCACAGTGCATGGCACATACAAGTGCCCAGTAACTTAGCTACTATAATTTCTCCTGCAACCCAATGCCGACATTGCTGTTTCCTTCGTGTAATTTCTTACTAGTTCTCAAGTCACAGCAGTTTATTTTTAACTTTTAGGTTGTTCTTCTCGTTTATGGTATACCTCAGAACCAGATTAGAGAAATCCTGAGGATGTAAATATTGCCCTCACAATTGGTTCCACTGAAATGTGTAAAGCTTCTATGCGCTTGGAAGGATCTGTCATCAATAGCCAGGCAGGTATCTGTTAGATTTCTAATTACCTTTTAGCCACTTGTATTGTGAAGGAATGACATGAAAAACCAGCCTAGAAGTAAAGCTAGAAGAGGACTGATTGAGCCAAGAGAAAAGTGTTCTGATGTAGGGTAATATTTTAGAGAAATTACTCAAGTCAAAGATAACTACTGTACCATGTGTTGGAAAGTATACTGTTGATTCATCACTATTAGTATGACTAAATATTGAGACCAATTTCTGTAAGCCTTATACGTAAATCCATGTTGTTAACTTTATAGTAATATTTGTACACCTCCTCTTCTCCTTTTTTTTTTTTTTAATCTCCAATTTTTCCACTGGGTTTGTCATTTCTGCCTACTGCATTATTTAGCCTTTTTCACTCTGGGTAAAGGTTAGCACATTTTGGTTTGGGAAAATATTCAAAGGCAGTGTGCTAATGCCATGAGTAGTATATTAAGGTGATTAATATATGAGGGAGGATGAGCTTAGGGCAGTGATTGGCAAGCCATGGCTCTCAAGCCACTTTTGGCTCTCGAGCTGCGGTTTGCTGCTTTGTTAACTAATGAGTTTGCCAACCACTGTCAGGTACTAATATTTACCTCTTTGCACACATTTTGCCACAATTGCCTAATCCTCACAGCTTCCAACTACGTAGTAACATTTAGTCTAGTGCCAGTGGTCTCGAGCTGCAGTTTGCCAACCACTGGCTTAGGGGGCTTGCTGAGGAATTTATGTGATCAATAAGTGACCAAATAAGCTTAGTACAGCCCTAAGGAGTGGGACCCAGGGGTGAGAGAACTCATGGTTATAGGAGATGAATCATCTGTTGTCTCACATCCTTTGCCTTTGTTTCCAGGGCAAGAAGTCCTCTCAGATTTGAGGGGAGCCATGAGCCGTTTCCTGAATGTGTTACGAAGCTGGTTGGTGATGGTGTCCATTATAGCCATGGGGAACACGCTTCAGAGCTTCCGAGACCACACCTTTCTCTATGAAAAGCTCTACACCGGCAAGCCACACCTGGGTAAGAAGCCAAAGAACTGCATCTTTTGTACATTGTGATTCCCAGACTAGGCTGCACATCAGAATAACTTACTAAGCCGAGACAGGTTTGGTTCAATGGATAGTGTCCTGGGTTTGATTCCGGTCTAGGGCATGTACCTTGGTTGAGGGCACATTCCCAGTGAGGGGTGTGTAAGAGGCAGCTGATAGATGTTTCTCTCTCAATGATGTTTCTAGTTTTCTATCCCTCTCTCTTCCTCTGTAAAAACTCAATAAAACATTTTTTTAAAAAAAAAAAAGAGTAACTTACTAGGAAACTTACAAACAAACAAAGCGCAGGTGCCATGTCCCTCTCCAAACCTGTTTACTGAAACTTTCACCCCCTGGGTGGAGTCCAGGAATCTATTTTTTAATAACTACTAGTTGATTCTGCTGTAGTAGCCTTTAATAATCACTGGAGTAATAAACTTTGTGAATAGCACTTGGCCATTTCCCCCCTCAAAGCTTCTCTGAATATCTTTTCATTCATTTTACATGGCCGTGGCAGTCTGTAAAAAAGCATGACACGGGCATCCTGGTCAGTGTGGCTCAATTGGCTGGGCATTGTCCCATGCACCAAAGGATTGCTGGTTCGATTCCGAGTCAGGGCACATACCTGGGTTGCAGGCTCAATCCCTGGTAAGAGGCATGCAAGAGGCAAATGAGGAAATAGGGTTACTTGGTGACTCTGTGATGCCCCACTAGGAAGCTATAAAGAGTGTTTGCATGTTATCTCAGCTGTCTTCAGAAATCACATCATGGCACATACATGGTTACATTCCATGTTGCAGATAGAAAGTAACTAGTCCATGGTTTTCCCCAACTATGACATTTTCTCTAAGAACACAGCCCAAACTCATTCAGGTTTGTCTCCAAAATGAAACTTCAGAAGGCCCAGTTTCCAGAGCCTCTTTGCTGAGAGTGTTTTCGCATTGCTGCTTGCCCTTCATTGCATTGATGTGTGGGATAGTTGGAGCTGCGGCACGGTTTCACAGCAGCTGACAATTCTCTGTCACATTTATAGCTAACCCAGATTCAGGCTCTGACCTAGCTCATTGTTCCGCAACATCTGGGGATAAAGTGAACCTAATTAGGCTAAGGCTCATTTTGAACAAAGCTCAAATATACTACCCTGTTTCCCCCAAAATTAGTGTCTTATATTAATTTTTTCTCTCAAAGTTGCGCTATGTCTTATTTTCAGGGGATGTCTTATCTTTCCATGCGCTAGGTTTTATTTTCGACGGATGTCTTATTTTTGGGGAAACACGGTAGGAGTAAAGAATTTGGAAGAGGGGGCAAGAAAATTCAACTTTTTCACCCTCAAATGCTGCCTTCAGATGGTCTAGGCATCCTGTATAGATTAACAGGATTTTTAAGGTTATCTGTTCTAGCCCTTTGAAATTGAGATAGAGAGGCCCATGGGTGATGTGACTTGTTGAAGGGCATAGAGCTGAGCAAGAGTATGTGTGTGTGAGCACATGCGTGTGCATGCATCTGCACATGCATGTGTCTGTCTGTGTCCAGCCCAGAAGTATAGACTGCCACCTCCTCATGATCTGGGGGCTGTCTTGTACTATGCTGATCATATCAGTACTGTGTTAGAATTTCACCTGATGCCTAATCTGCTTAAGGTTGGTGAAATATTTTCCTTTCGTAGCTCACTAATTCCTCAGTCTTTTTATCAGAAAAGCTGTCAAGGTGTTCAAAAGAATGTAGCCCACTGGGGCTAACTGCTGGTATTTGGTTGGCATATGGAATTTTTGTTCACCTTACTACTTACCATCCAAAGGTCTTCGGGACTGTGAAATCAGAATCACTGTCTGGTTTTCCAAAGGCTGGAAAATCCTAAAAGCCCAAGTAAACATGAATAGACCTTTCATTTTTCAGTCTTGTCCCTTGAACTTTCTCTTGCTTAATAGATCGGCAAAGAAGTGTCTTTGCTGTCACTATTTTTGCATTTTAACCACTGAATGCCTTAGATCAATGGCTGTACATTATAATCACCGAGGGAGGGGGTTTTAGAAACCACTTTGCCCAAGGCCCACTTCCAGAGAGTATGATTTCATTGGTCTGGTACCCAGGTCTTGGTCATTGTATAAAACTTTTTCAGTTGATCCTAATAAATATCCAGTGTCCAGAACCACTGTTGTGGTGGAATATGATCCATACTTTCAGGACGAGATATTTAATACAGCAGTGTCAGAACAAAGCTACCAAGAGCAAGGTGGCCTTGCCAAACACTAAGGAAACAGTGCTTTGTCCCCCTATCATGTGTCCAGGAATCCAGCCTGGTTTGGGCTTTGTTCAAATAGTACAGATCTGGATTCAGAGAAGACCTAGAGACTCTGTAAAACCAGATGTAGCCATCTAAGCAGGCGCCATTATTTCTGAGTTCTCTCCTACACCAGCCTTAAAAGTCTGCTGACCTCCCAGGCACCGTGTATGACCAGACCACTCTGCAGCATTCCCCCAAACCTGTCCTGATTCAGACTCACTGGGCTTCACCAACACCAGACTGGTTTCTAGGGCAGAGGTATAAACCATTACATCCAGGAGTTATTTGCCCACGTGGGCTCTTTGTTGGATTTCCACTCTTGGAAGTCCCTGCCCAGCTATAGATATTGGAAGAGGAGCTGAGCAGTTCTCATTCTGGAATTCCTTCCATTCCTCCTAGTGCCCAAGTGCGGCACCAGAGCCTCCACTCTGCCCAGCCAATGGGAGCTCAGCTCAGCTCCCTGCCTCCCATGAACTACCAGTGAAGTAGGAAGAGTTTGGAAGGCATCCTAACCTTTTTCTTCTTCTCAACATTTGCTTTTTTCTGCTACACAGTGAATGGCCTCCAAGCTCGGACCTTTGGGATCTGGACGCTGCTCTCTTCAGTGATCCGATGCCTCTGTGCCATCGACATCCACAACAAAACGTATGTAAGGGGAGGAAGAGCATTAGCATCCTTTTGTTGGAACTCAGGTGTTACACATGCCCACTGTGGTCCTCCCCTCGGAGACCTGTTAGTTTTGGTACGTTCGCCTAGAATGTGGATGATAATAAAAGGTTAATAGGTTCTGTTCCTTCCAGGCCTAGAAAACATAAAAGGCCTAACAGGTCTTTAAGCTTTGAAAATTCTTTTGAACTGACATAGCTAAATTGGCCGTGCCATGATCCGGTGGCCTGCATCAGAGCCCCTACTTCTTTACTGAAGAATCAGCCTTTCTTCTACTAAGGTACAGTAGTGTGGCGGTCTTTTTAGAGCAGCCGCCCACACATACCTTATTCTCACCTGCCTCCTTGAGCAGGATTGCACAGAACTCACAGTCCATGGAAAAAGGAACCCACAAGCAAACTGTTATATGCTTTTGCAGAGGAGGGTGGAAGAGAACCCAGGACTCCTCGGTGTTCTGCCTAGTGTGGAACAATTGCAGACAATCCTAGCCTCTTATCTAGAGTGCTGTAGCCAGTGCTGGCCACTGGAGGGGGCTCGAGCCTTGTTCCCACCAACAGTCATCACCACATGAAGGTGGAAAAGTTTGCTCAGGTCAGTGGGTGAGGCACCAAAACTCCAACTTGACACTAAAATCTTTTTCTCTCTGATCCAGACCCTCAGCATCTGGGGAAGAGAGGAGGGAATGGTATTTATCTTATTTTGCCTGGAGCTTTCATCTATGTGACCTTGGCTAAGTTTCCTCCTTGCAGCTGGGGAAGTAGTGATTTTCATTCCTGCTTTTGCAGATCTGCATATTTGACACCCAATTAATTAAATCTGAGAAAGACTGACACAAGTGGGATTTGAAGCAGGGCTCTTAGCCCTGCGATCTCACCAACTTCATTTTTAACTTTTTTTTTTAACTTGAAACTGTGGTTTACTCGTTCTAGATTTGCATGTATTTTTGGAAACTGCCTGGGGCCTGAGAATGAAAACAAGAAAGTGAGCTCTGGTCTCAGTTCTATTACTAACTAGCTTTGTAGCAGCCAGTTCATTGTGTACCATCTCGCTCTCTTCACGTATAAAACGAGACTAGTATTTCTGTTCTACCTCTCAGGGTGACTGGGAGGGAGTGAAGGTTGAATAATCATTTTAAAAGACCTTTACCATGAAGGATTGCTGATCGGTATTAGGTGTAACACCTTTTGCTTGCTGTGCTTTTGGAATGAGCAAAAACACCTCAGACTTACCTTCACCTCTATTACCCATCCATTCCCCCTTCTCCCAATCAGGACGGCTGCAGGTGCCGGCCTGTGCTTCCAACTTTTTGTTCTCCTGGGACTTCTGTCTGTGTGCTTCTGAAGGGCACTCTGATTCTCTTCCCTTGCTCACTGGAAACTCCAAGTCCACTCCTATATGTACATATTTACTAAATGTATTAAGACATGCACAGGGAGGATAAACATCATATGTAAGATATTGGTTCCTTCTGTGGAGAGGGTAGGCAGGAGAATGGGGTCAGATGGGGAAATGGTACACACGATGTTTTAACTGATAACTACTATTTTATTTCTTTTTTAAAAAGTATCTGAGGCAAAGAAAAATGTCAAAATGCTCAGTTGATAGAGCAGGGTACTGGTTAATTAGGGGCTGAGTATCTTATCTATAGTTTTTTTTTTTTTTTTTAATATGTTTAGAGGTTTCATAATTTTAAAAATTCCATCGGTAAAAAAGGTATCAGCAATCCAGATGGTGGAGCATCCTGTAACCTACGTCTCCCCACCTTTTGGCCAAAGCTGCGGAACAAGTTCTCTTCCCATGAGGTGGTCACCGGGCCCTTCATCTGACCATTTTCCCAAGCTGAGACAAAATAACCAGCCCACGTTAGAAGAGCCCCTCAAAGCCCCCCGAGGTCCTTGCTGCTCATCCCTCATTCAAGCTCTTCGTTCTGTGGCTCCCCCCATCATGAGCACAGCCCCTGGCCAAACACAGGCCACGTGAGCTGGGATGACAGAGTCGAGCCCGTTTGAGGAAGTGGAATATGGAAGCATGGCTGACCCAAAATTGCCTCCCCTGCCTGGGCTTGCCAGAATGCAGACCCTGCTTTGCTGTAGTTGGCATACCGCCTTGCTAGAACTTGGAGATCCGCCCTGGATGCCTGGACCATTCTCTCTGATTAGCAGTTAAAACCTTCCGTTTTCCCCTGTAGAGAATGGAAGTAAGCAAGCAGGCCAGGCCTTTCTCAAGACCAAGTCTCCTTTGCCTTTAGCCATAGTCCCTTCCTGGGTTTTTATTTGCATGCAGCGGGCCTGGTCACCACTTTTCCTCTGCACAGAACAAGCAGTCCTTCAGTTTCTATTTCTGTCTGTACCTTCCTAGGCTCTACCACATCACGCTCTGGACCTTCCTCCTCGCCCTGGGGCACTTCCTCTCTGAGCTGTTTGTGTACGGGACCGCGGCTCCCACAATCGGCGTCCTGGCTCCCCTGATGGTGGCAAGTAAGCATGCAACCACCCTAGACTTCCCACAGGACCTTTCCTAGCCTCGCAGACATACAAGTGGTATGAGAAAGCACGTGCTTACGTCAGCCACTAATGTTCTTCTGTATTTAAGGTTTCTCAATTCTGGGGATGCTCTTTGGGCTCCGGTACCTAGAAGTAGAACCCGTATCCAGACAGAAGAAGAGAAACTGATGCCAACAGTACCACCTCCGAGACTTCGTCTTCCATCCTTGCTGTCTTCTCCCGTCATCCTCTCTGCGCTTTAATTTTTTCTTTTCTGCTCCATCATCAGCCCCTTTTCTCCACTTCTAGCCTTTTACGTTTTGTTTGCTTTTGTTACATTTAAACTTTTTAAAACTCTAACATGCATACAGAAAAGTATAGAACATGTATGAACATGTATGAATCATTTAACAGTGACCCCTCTGTACTTCCATCCAGATCCGAACATTGCCTGCACCTCAGCCCACTGTGCCCCTCCCACTTGCAGCCTCTCTGAGGATCACTTTTCCAGCCTCCTGCTTTTCTCATTGTGTTTCCATTCCTGGATTTGACTTGTGTGGTGGGAACAAGTGGACCATGAAACTAAAAGCCGCTGCCTCGCCCAGAGCAGCTGCCGCCAAGGGCTGCTTCAAGGGGCTGTCCATGCACGCTGGGCTCCTCTCTGCCGCTGGACCCAAGACTCCAAACCATCTGAGGGACAGGTAGTTCTCCTACAAAGGGCTCCCCTGTGAATGAGCACGGCTTATGTCCTGTGTCTACGGGTGGATTAGAGTGGGAAGAGTCTGGGCTGTTTTTAGACCTTTTGGTCAGCTGTATTTGTGTAACGAATTTTGTAATAAACAGAAAAACCCTCTGCTCCGATCAGTCCTTGTACTTTGACCCCCCCCCTTAAGCCATGGGCACTCCCGCCCTCCTCTGCGCCCTCACGTAGAGAATCATACTTTCTACTAATCAAGTACATGGAGTGAGGGGGCCAGCTCAAAACCCAGGCACATCAGGCTGCCTCCAGCTCCTTCAGGTCAGATCTTCCTCCCCTCCTGTCCCACCTTCAAGATTCTCTAAGTTCACAACAGAACAGTCAGGCCCCTTTCTTGTTTTCTTCCTAAGAAAGAAAAAGGTTGTTGAGAAAGCATAGGCAAAATACAGAACCAGGCAGCAGAGAAGAAACAGCTGCATGACGAGGAAAGGAGAACACTGGCGCCCAAAGATTATGCACTGGAGCGGACAGCATCCTCAAACAACCCGAGGGCTCCACACTGGCTGGTCCCTCCCACAGCTTGTAGTCTCAAGGCTCAGTCATTATTTCAACAAGTATTTCTTGAACACATACTCCATGCAAGATACTTGGGAAAGAAATGAATGACCTGGGTAAAGACTTTACTCCCGTGGTGGTCCTCACACGGTAGCCAAGGAAATAGACAACAAAAAAAAAACCATCAAGTGAAAGAACAGCTTCAGACAGTGATAAGAATTCTGAAAAATAGATATTGTAACCAAGAAGGGGAGGAAAGTGCATAACTTACATCACCAGAAGTAAAAGGTAAGATTTTAGTTGAGACTTGAATGTCCAGGTATCATGTGTCTTAAGGTATATTACGGCCCTAGTCGTTGCTCAGTGGTTAGAGCACCATGCGTTCAATTCCAGTCAAGGGCACGTACCTTGGTTGCAGGTTTGATCCCCAGCCCCAGTTGGAGTGCATGCAAGAGGCAAGCAATCAATGTTTCTCTCACAGATGTTTCTCTGTCCCATTCCCTTCCATTCTTTCTTTAAAAAAAAAAAAGGGGGGGGGGGGTTTGGGGGATAGAATCAATGGAAAAATATCTTCGGGTGAGGATTAACAAAACAAAAAACAGAGAGGCAGAAGACTTGGGGTGACAGGTAGCTTGAAGTTGACAATACATTGGAAATTCTCTATCAATTAAGGCCAAGTGAAAGGAACAAAATCTACCTTAAACTAGCTTAAACAACAAAGATAACATTGGCTAACAAAACTGTAAAGTGAAGGGGATTATAAACTTCAGGAAGTCTGATCAGGACTCAGCTCCATTTCTCTGGGATTCTTAAGGCTCTGCCTACCTGTGTTGGCTTCATCCTCAGGCTGGCTTCCTTTATGGTGCCCAAAAAATAGTTGCATCCCCACAATACTACACATTTAGAAAAACAGCTCAGTTGCTAAGAACTGTCTTTCCCTTACTACTGTAAGGAAGCAGAAAAAAAAGCAATGATCTTACAGAGTTAACATTTGAGTGGAGATACACATGGATCCCACCTAAGGAGTGAATGAAAACATATGATTTGCATCCTCTAGGCATGTGTCATAGAAATATGATTGCATATAAAGATCCCAAAGGATCTAAAGAGATGATGTGTGGCTCAGTGGTTGAGCCTCTACCTATGAACCAGGAAGTCACGGTTCAATTCCCAATCAGAGCACTTGCCCAGGTTATGGGCTGGATCTCCATTGTGGGGTAGACAGGAGGCAGCCGATCCATGATTCTCATTATTAATGTTTCTCTCCTCCCTTCCTCTCTGAAATCAATAAAAATATATATTTTTTAAAAAAGAAAAGAGATGATATGCAGTATTTATGAGACTGACGCGCTGCCTACTGCGCTAAGAGGGCAGCTGCTGATGTGCAGTATTTAGCAGACACTATGACCATTAGGTTTCTTTAACAGCCAGCCCTGACTTATAGCTCCTTCTATGTGATTTAAAGTAGAATTGATAACAGAGATGGTACCAGAATGCCTCAGGCACAGTGTAACTCTAGGTAAGACATGTATGAAAAACTGATCGCAGCACACCCAAGTAACAGACCAGGTGAACACGGCTGGGAAGGGAGGAGTGGCAGTAAGAAGGACAGTTCAGAAGGAAAATCAGAACTGCAGATGCCGGAACTGTGGCCTCTGGCTAGAGCTCAGGGTGACTGTAAAACAAACACCAGCCACCCTCTGAGGCAGAGCCAAAAACAACAGTGGGCTCTCTCATCAGCCCTCACACTAGGCTGAACCTTCATGTGTACTCACCACAGACAGCGGTCAGGGTCATGTGTTGGACGTTGAGTGGCCGTCTCCCACCAAGGCAGACAGTAACCTTTAGGGCCTGGTCTTTAAAAGTAACCCACTGGGATGGTAATACCTCTGCAAACAGCGGACCACTTCTACGGGAGGCCACAGGAGCTGCTCCCCGGCCCCGACGCCCCCACCACATCCTCCAGCCCTCAGAAATGTGCAATGACCTCAGAGGGACTACCAGAAACCCACCTCTGCCCCATCAAATGACACGGCAGACCACTTGGGAACTCTTTTATTGCTTTACAACATCTGGTTTACAAATAGAAAAATGAAAATTATGTTTTAAAACAAAGCAAAGAATTTGGTAAACCTTTCGTTAATACATTTTGAGGGAATGAAGAGTAAACACCTTTCTCCTTGTCGAAAAATAAGGTACACTACGCTGGCCCGATTGCTCGATTGGAATGTCGACCCGTAGACCAAAAGGTGCCGCGTTCCCCATCAGGGCCTACACCTAGGTTTTGGGGGTTTGATCCCTGGTCAGGGCACTGCGGGAGGCAAACAATTGATATTTCTCACATCGATGTTTCTGTTTCTAAAATATTAATGAAAACATCTCTCTTTAAAAAAAAATAAAAGAAAATGTAAGGCATTCTCTCCACCCTCACTCAGTCCCCCGATCTGCAGTGTGAACTTCTTTTATCACATTCAGTGTCTGTACACACACACCCCAGCTTCTCTGGCAGTGGCCCAGCACCCAGATCTGCTGCCAGCACAGGCTGCTCTGACATGCTGTGTCCAGGGCAGTAGCCACAGCAAACCAGCACAGTGGTCCTGACTGCCGCTGCTCAGTGACTAGGAGCAATTACCAAAATATCTTCTTTTCTGGAGATGCTACCCAACCAAGCCTATGCGGAGAGCCAGAGAGCAGGTTCAGCAGGAGAGGGGATCAGCTTGGGTTGGCTTCAAGGGAATCCCCTAAAATCTGGAACGTCTGATAAAAGGTTAGTGCTAGAAGGGGGAGAGGTGGAGGGGGGGTGCAAATACTGCCCCCACCAAAGCGGGGATACGCTTAATTCAAGCAGATGCAATTCCCATTTCAAAGGCCACATTTCCTCTCATCTCAGACGCAGCTTTGGATTTCTCAACATGGAAGGGATGGAGGTTCGTTTTCAGTAAAGGTTACAGGACAATGGCTGGTATCCCCTCTCTACAGAGAAAGCAAGCACCTAGTTCCTCCAGGCAGTGCCCCTATGAAGGCATCAGAGGTAACAATGTCACGCAGAATCTCTGGGCAAGGGCTGATTTTGTAGAAAAGAACCTCTCCATTCCCTAATGGAGCTTCCCTGAGTTCACAAACCCGCTCAGCTGAGAGCGCCCAGCACCCTCACACACCCGGGTGGCTACCTTTCCCAAATCAGTTTCTCCTTCAAGGCTACAACAGTCTTTCTCGGGTTTATTGATGTTTGGTTTGATCAGCTCTTAAGAAAGAGGGTTCGGAGATAGCCCCCAATCTTAGACCAGGAGAAAAGAGGACCCAAGGGTTTGGCCCGATGGTGCTTTCTCCCCCACGGAACGTTAGCCATCAAGTCCAATGACCCAAGAAGGACCCTCATCCAGCACAACCTCCGCTCCTTAGAATTGGGTCTTCAGACACTAGAAAAAGTTAATATCCTGAATAAGCTTTCTTTCCACGATAATTTTGCAGGCTTTCCCCATGAGGGATGGAGGGGAAGAGGGAAGGCAAGGCACAAAGCCAGGGCTGACTCCACGCCTGGCCAGCCTCTCCCAACACCAGCTCCCGGAACCTGCAAGGGGAGGGGCGGGGATCCAATCTGCATTTGGTGAAAGGTGCGATTTCCCCCAACTAGACCGTGCAGGCTCTTGAGTGGGTTCCAGAAGCTAGGCACTGCCGTCCAAGCCACCAATGTTCCAGCCGGTTCCCTCCACAAGCTGCCCCTGTGAAGACCTAGGTGCTGGCAGTGAGCGGTGCTGACAGAAGAGGTGGGGTCTCCGTGTTCCCTGAGTTGCCACCCCCTTCTCGTCTCAGAGATGCTCCTCAGACAAAGTGGTGGGTGCTTTGCTGGTGACATTGTCCGCTTTCTCCACGTTCTCCACCTTTTCCTCCTCCTCCTGGAGTTTCTACAAGGCAAAACAAGCAGGCAGGCCTTGGGGTGAAGAAGCACAGGGCTCCCCCCTGGCCGGAGCCACTGCCTGGCAGGGATTCTATAGTCAGCGGGGAAAACAGGAGCCAGAGGCATATTCATGAGGGAACAAAGGGAACAAGGAAAGAAGTGCCAGCCCCTGGCTCATGAGCTCCCTAAACACACACACACACACACACACACACACACACACACACACACACAAAAGCACACATATACATGCACAAACGCACACATGCCATCACAAGGTCATCAATGGAAAAACCAAAGGCCAACTTTCTGTGATGCCACAGTCACCACAAACCATCCCCTTCCAAGTGCCAGTGCTGTCCCCTCCTGTTCCCTTCTAAACATTCGGGCACTGACCATCCAACAGCTGCCCAAGTGCCACGTCTACAACTCCCGAATTCCCAACTATGTCCATTTGGAGGCAGCCCCCAAGACAAAGAATAGTATTACAATGTGCATGGAATGAATACAACAACAACAAAAATGTATATACAAGCAGGATGTATAATTGCATAGGAAAACTCAGTGACTAAAAATAAGTATATATGCTTCGTGCACAGAAAAAGAGGCTTTGAGTTGATCTGGCTTTGGCTTTCTCAGTGAGAGAGTGTGCAGGATTAGAGGAGTCTTCTGGGTCACACTTGTGAGGTGGGTTTGGCATTAAATACAGCCTGGAAATTATCCAGTGGGGACACTTGGTGCATACCACCACCTTGGGAATTTGCTCTTTCAAGAAGTGCTTTGCTTCTTAGCTCAAGGGTTCCATCTAGTTAGGGAGAAGGCCTTGGGCACAGCACAGCACCACTCAGGGGCTGGGGAAGTGTGTGCAGGGCCAAGCTAGAGTCCTGTTAATCAGACTCATGGTGCTTCCGCAGGGAGTGTCTCAGGGCCAATCCATGGCAATGGCAACAGCTGTGGAAATCCAACCTTCCCATTCTCAGTCTCACTAACTTTTGGCTCTGGGTCAGTCTCAGTCAGAAAAAGCCTTTATTCAGGCAGCTTAAGTCATTCAGGCAGTCTCTGGCACATGTACGTGTGCACATATGTACACACGCACCTGCCTCCTTCAGAGCCACCACCTTGAAATCACAATCAAAAACACAGATTAGTGGGAATGGAAGCATAGCCAGTCTTTTAACTAGAAGAAAAATGGAAACTCAAGCCAAGATTTTCATAGTCAAGGTCAGCTGCCTACCTCCATCCCCTAAATTCTGTCTCTTTTTATCAAAATGATATATCTCACTATATAATTAAAAAGAAAAAGCAGTTCTGGCCAGATCAGCTATGTGCCCTGAATTTACCTGGCTCTGATAATGAATTTGTGTGCTAACATGCAGGTCTCACTCACACTGCTCACCACGGCAGGCATCGGAGAAAGGATGCTCTGTGCAGCCCTGGCTTTCTTGGGTGTCAAGCCCAGCATTACTCTGACCTATAGCGCCAGCTGCCTAAATGCAAGTGAGGCCCAGGGATGCAGAGTGGCTTATCCAGGGACACAGAGTGTTGAGAACCATTGCAAGATTTGTCTCTTATTACTCAGTGCTACTTCCAATACTCCAAAAAGAAAGACTAAGCCAACAACTCCAACCCTGTGTGACAAACCTGATCCGCATGCACAGGATCTGGTTGCAAGAATAGGGAAATATTGGAACAGCCTAAATATTCAACAAGAGAAAATGGAAGTGTGTGTGTGTGTGTGTGTGTGTGTGTGTGTATGTGTGTATACACACATACATACACATATGGATATATATACATATATATTATATGGGGATATGGACATATATAAGTCAATGCAAAAACTACAGCATCTTACCTCTGGATGGTGGTATTACAGGATGATTTTTAAATTTTGTACACTTTTGTATTTTTTTTCATTATTCTATAAAGAGCATGTATTACCTCTGTAATAACTTTTGGATGTTTTCTTTTTATTTTGTTTTTTTGTTTAAAAATATCCTGCCTTTACTGCTCAGATTTGAAATTCCTTTCATCCTGGCTCAGATTTGATACCTAACATTTTGGTTAAAATGATTCCCAGCTGATGGGAACAGAGGAGAAACACTTTCCTACTGCAGACCACATCCTGGTTCTCTCTCCTTACACCATCATCGGCTCCTGCTTCCTGACTTATCCTTCTAGGGCCTGACTGGCTACCCACTGGCTCCAGTCCTTCGATCCCCATGGCACTGCCTAAGTGGCTGTCACATACAGGGACAGACCCCTGCCCTGGGGCCGCCACTGCCATGACAGGCTCCTGCCATTCCTCTACAGCTACTGACCCCCGGGCTCAGGGTCCACTGGGTGGGTACTGCTCAGCAGACTGTGATAACAGTGACACACTCTGAGGACCAGAGCAGAGAGGCCAGGGAAAGAGAAGGAATCTGGAGAGGAGCCTGGGAAAGAGCAGCAGAAAGGCCATGCTGAAGCAGCCACTGAGGAAACTGGATGCTATGTTCATGAGAGTTGCACTAGTCTCACAGGCACCTTAAATCTGTCAGCTCTCCCGCCCCCAACCAGGCTGCTCCCCTGACCCCCACCCATGCTGCCACTTCCTCAGCCTGCAACCCAGATTTCAGCCCATCCAGCTCCCAGTACATACATTCTCGGAAAATTCCATGTTCGCCTTCTGCCTCCGTAGATCTGCCTTGATGAGTGCTGAGGTCATGGGATTGAGAAGGAAGAATAACAGAGACACAGAGTTATCAAGCAGACTAATGTTCAAGTCCATCCCAGAGTGGGAGCCCTAATTGTCCTAAGGCCCACGGGCATCCCAGACCTACATCAGATATTCCAGGGAGCTAGGGGCACACTGTCACCCATCTTGTTAAAGCCTGGATCCAATGACAGTGGCCTTGTACTTGTAAATCCCCATTTTACAAATTAGCAAAGGGAAGCTCCCAGATATTAGTCCACTTGCCTAAGGTCAAACAGCTATGGAGGTTTATCACAGCCTGGGATTCAAACAAGGGTCTTTTATCTCCAAAGCCCATGCTTATTCCACCAAAACATTTATTACCTCCCTAGCAGATTTCCTGACAAGCCCTTCCCTCCATCCTGTCTAGGTAATGTATACACCTCATCTGTACAGTCAGTCAAGACACTGGATCTCAAACTGCCTCATCGCATGAGCACCCAGAGCCTTATCTTGTCCCAAGGCCCCAACTCACCAGTGAGGGCTGCTCCAAGGGCAAGGAACACACACAGAAAGATGTTCCCCTGCATGACGCCATAATTTTCGATTATCTGGCCCTGGGAGATGGTGAAGATGATCCCGAATACCTGGAAAGATACAAAGAAGACTGGGACCAAGGGCCCAGCCAACTTGCCCACGGTAGAGCTGAGCTGCCATAATACAAGGAACAAAGAGCCACTGCTATGGGCCACCACCAAATAAGACCTACCTGGGCAGACACGTTGAGGAGGCCAGACGATATGCCTTCCGATTCTGGGTATGTCAGCTCCACGGCAAACTCAAATCCCAGGGGGAGGTAGCCAGTCATAAAGAACCTGAGGGCCAGACCACAGAAACAAGGTGATGGAGAACTTGCAGAACAAGAAGGACAGAGAGCCCACTTCCTCCTTGTTTCTACCCATCAAGACATGCTGGGCCCTTGAATGATCAGGCCACCTGCTAGAGGGCCATACCAAGGAAAGAGGGATCCTACAGGCCAGGAAGAGGCTCATAGGTAGGCTTTGTACTCAGTAGGCCTTTGTATATAAAAGCTCTTCTTCTTCTACATTCAGCCACAGTGGCAGACAGGGTCAGCATTTACAGAGGGTGGGATGCCTGGGGAGCTCAGCCCTCAGCTGAGAGACTCTGTGTCATAGATACACAGACTCTACGCTGTGGGAAGTCCCTGGATATAGAACAGCATCTCCATGACTCTGTGGGACCTGGAAGGAGCTCAAAGTCCTTCTTATTTCGCCACAGAGTCACCAATCACCAGCTGACTTTCACACACACACACACACACACACACACACACACACACACACATTCATGTACTGCCCACAGTAAATAATGGGGAGGTAAAGCTGAGCAGAGAGCCCTGTGCAGAAGGCAAGCTTTCTCATACAACAGGTCTATAAATTTGCAATTTTAATGCCTTACACATGCCTACACCACACTTTTTGCTGCTTTCACTTCTGTTATCTCTCTCAATCCTCCAACAACTCTACAAAGCAGGCCACTTATCTTCATTTACACATGAGGAGACAGGGGCTCAAAGTGGCTAAGTGACATGCCTGTGGATGAATAGGGAGTCTGCAGCGGAACTGAGACCAGGATCCAGACTTTCCAGGACCCACACTGTCTGAGGCAGAGCTAAAAAAGACTCTCCACATTTCCTAACCTCCCAAGTCTGTAAAGAATACAATGCATCCCAACTGCACAGGTGGGTCTGGAAGCCCCAGGCAGCCTTTTGAAGTGCAAAACAAAAAAACAAACAAACAAAAACAAATAAGTCCTCTGAGCACCATTTCCACATCTCCACACAGGTCAGTGAGAAAGCAGCAAAGGGATCCGTATTACATCCTAGGATGTCAGCAGCTCTAGGAGCCATGAGATGGTGCTTTCTGGTTAAACACATTAGAGGTGAAACTTACCCCATTGTGCCAGCGGTGATGAACACTATCCACAGATGCTGGAGGTTCAAGGTGAAAGTGTACACCACCATGCCCACCAGCGTCATGATATACACCACCAGGGTTGTCTCCCTACAAGCAGAGACCAAAAGATTGACTCATACACCTCCGACTTTAATAGGATCGTCTGTTCATTCGGTCATTCGGTCATTCTACAAGTCTCTATCAGGCACCTGCTCTGTGTTCAGCCCTCTGCTGTGTGCTGAAACATCTGCTCTTATAGGACACTGAGCATAATCACACAGATAATTATTTAATTGTATGTGGTCACTGCCACAAAGGGTAAGACCGGGAGTGTATGAAGCATCTTGCTGCATGTGTGTTCTCCTCCTGCAGACCCCTCTCAACAACACCAAAGTGCACTTTGACTTGTCAGTTCCTGCCCACAGCAAGAAGGATACAGCCCTTTCCTCTCCTCGTCCCACACCAAAAGCAAACAAACAGGAGGAACACCAGCATGCCACCCCAGAAACCACTCAATTCTGCATGTCTACTTCACCCAGGATCCCACAACAATGCTGAGAAGTGACCTAACTTTTACACTAAGTGGCCAGATTATAATGATCTCTGAACACATAATAATCTGGTCACTCCGTGTGTGTGTGTGTGTGTGTGTGTGTGTGTGTGTGTGTGTGTGTGTATAGTATATATTAGAGGCCTGGTGTATAAATTCATGCATGGGTGGGGTCCGACCAGCCTCGCCAGGGGGAGGAGAACATGGGTGGTTGGCCAGCCTGCCTGCTGGTCAAACTCCTGGTTGAGGGGACAATTTGCATATTAGCCTTTTATTATATAGAATATACACTGAGTGGCCAGATTATTATGAGTTCAGAGATCATCATAATCTGGCCACTCAGTGTAGTTTCCCTGTCATCTCTACTGTCTTCCTGCTGCCACTTGCATGGGTTTTCCTGCTGAATTTGGTTTACTCCAGACAGCAAGAACTAACAGAACATTCTCCCTGAACGAAGTGTGTGACTCCAAAGTGAGAAACCTCCACCCACTCCGTCACATTTCCCCTTGTCGGTCCCCTCAGAAGGGCCATCAGCAACGAGCTGGTCTGTTTCAGGCTCACCCAGCTTGTGCACCTCCCCACACATCTCCCGTGGCACCCATTCTGGACTCTGCTGGGGCCTGACTCCTGCTCAGATCTATTTTCCCCTCCTTGCCTTACTCACTGCAGGGGACCAGCTCTGCATACACCTCTTCCCTCCTGCCCTGAACGTTAGGTCTCAGACGATGCAAGTTTAAAAGCCTTTACACGTCTCCCCTGAAGCCAGACACCTGGTGGGGGCATCTGAGGACGTATGCTATGTGGTAATGTCAAACTAATGCCTGTAGCTCTTGGGTGCAGGGAATTCTCTAAAGCATTTTACATTCATTTATTATTTCACTCAAACATTATAAAAGCCCCGAAAGACATGTATGACTATCCCTACTTTCACAAATAAGAAAATGGAGGCTTGCCAAAACCAGTTGGCTCAATGGATAGAGTGTCGGCCTGCGGACTCAAGGGTCCCAGGTTTGATTCGGTCAAGGGCGTGTACCTTGGTTGCGGGCACATCTCTGATAGGGGGTGTGCAGGAGACAGCTGGTCAATGTATCTCTCTCATCTATGTCTCTAGCTCTCTATCTCTCTCCCTTCCTCTCTGTAAAAAATCAATAAATTATATGAAGAAGAAGAAGAAGAAGAAGAAGAAGAAGAAGAAGAAGAAGAAGACGACGAAGACGACGACGAAAATGGAGGCTCAAGCTAGTTCAATTACTAGTCTAAAGTAATCTGTTGATTGGACAAAAATCTTACACCTATGTATGAAGACAGTGGCGGGGGGTAAGGGCGTGGGTTGGTGTGGGGAATCAGGTGGAGGGGAGCTATGGGGGTTGGGGGGGGGAGAGGAATAATCTGAACAATAAAGATTTATTTTTAAAAAAAATAACCTGTTGAACAAATGCAGAGTTGGGACTTGAACCCGAAGCTGGGATTGGAACTCTGCGCTCTTTCCTCTATTGCACAGAGGATACGAATACCCAACATGATTGCAGCTTTGGAAAAGCTCTAGGCCAGAGCCTCTGGAGGATGCCCCTCCCACCCAGCACTTCAAAGCTGCTGCATAGAGGAGCTTTGTCCTTCCTGTCCTTCCTCCGCCCTGCTCCCCTCATCTGGTCGACCCACCCCGCAGGAAGCTACTTCATGAACCCCATTCTCTCTCGCTGACCCTACCAGCTCATCTTTCACCAGATTTATCCAACCACAGCTTCGTCTCAAACTACTGATCCGTCTAGAAAAACTATCTGTAATCCCAGCCTGAGATAAACGGACCTGACCACCGCATTTCCAGCCTCCAAACCGGACAGGACTAATCTGAGGGCCTCGGGGAGAAATGGACAGGCACCAAAAGGACTGGATCACAGTTTTCACTCATCCTTTCTCCCTGGGGAGTAGTTCAGGGAATGGCTCGCGCTGCCGGCAGGACCTAGGCATCGAATGATGCAAAGGAACGTGTGGCATCTAGGTTCTGAAGTGTCCTCTCCAGCCTTTCACTGTATTTTCATCTGAATCATCTGCTGCCCACATTCCAGCCTTAGTGGAATTCCAACTCCTCCTCCTGCCACTGAGCAAGCACTGCTCTCATGTGTGTCTGAAGCAAGCAATTGACAGATGAGAGAGAAGAGTGGGAAGCCAAGCTCCAGCAGCAGTTAATTAAGCCAAGCCAAGGCCTTCGTCATGTTCAGCCAGGCAGCCACATCATTGGGGATGGCCTCAATTGGCCTTTGACTAGGATAGCCACAGTGAGACCTGGTCTGCCAGAAGTTGGTTTGTGGGGCAGAGAACAGATCTGCCACTGTCTTGTCGCCTCCAGACACTGGGAACTTTGGAGGCCTTGTCAAAGCAGCCCAGAATACCACCCTGACCCAGCACAAGGCAACCCTGGCAGCTGCCCTGCTGGCCAGCATTAATTGAGCACCCAATGTATGCAGAGCATTGGGAAGATGCAGTAGCCCTGGCCAGTATGGCTCAGTGGATAGAGCGCCGGCCTGCGAACTGAAGGATCCCAAGTTTGATTCCGGTCAAGGGTTGCAGGCTCGATCTCCAATAGAGGGCATGCAGGAGGCAGCTGATCAATGATTCTCTCCCATCATAGATGTTTGTATCTCTCTCTCCCTCTCCCTTCCTTTCTGAAATCAATAGAAATATATTATTTTTTAAAAGATGCAGTACGAAGAGAAGGATGCTGTGCCTGTTTTATTCAGTCTTTTTTTCTGCGCCTATTTATTGAATTTGAGGGAATTTGACACAAATGCAGATTGAGGCAAATGCAGATTCTCCTACTGAATTGGTATCCATGGCGGTGGAGTCCCACAAGTATGTATTTTTAATAGCATCCTGAATTAGTTTGACATACACTAAAATCTTTATTTTTTTATCCTCACCTGAGGATGTGTTCACTGATTTTAGAGAAAGAGAGAAACATCCATTGTGTACATACTCCAACAAGTATGTGCCTTGACTGGGAATCAAACCTGAAACCTTTTGCTGTAAGGAACGATGAACCAGGGCTGACTGACGTACACCAAAATCTTCAGAAGACCACTCTGGGCTCTTAGAAATGGTCTGGGCACCAGACCCAAAACAGATCACAATAGTTACTAACGAGGTACAGTATAAGCAATTGCAAGATAACGCACTGCAAACCAAAGTAAGCACAGGGCACCATTGTTAAGGCCATGGGGTCCAAGGGAGCCACGAGGACAGGCCAGTGGAATCACCCCCCCATCCCCACTCTTCCACAAATTTTCCAACTGCTGACATTTTTCTGCATTCATTTTCACTTCTCCCCCACCTGTCCCTTGCATAGCCATACCGGGGCGAGTGGTATTGTGCTCGGCCTCACGTCCTTTACCTCTAATCTCTCTAAGACCTCCACAGGGCAGGTGTTGTCTCCCTGGCTTTATAAATGAGGAAAATGAGGCTCAGAGAAGACCACCCCCTGGACCACTCCGTTGCCGCAAGGAAACCTTTGGGGCTGCATTGCTGAATGAACATGTCATTTCAAAAGTGAGTCCCCCAATTCGCGGTCCAAGAGGAAGAGTCACTTACTTGTAGGTTTTGGACCTATCCAGCCAGATACCGGAGATCATGGCCCCAAACATTCCTGCGATGATGATGGTGAGGCCTATTCTTCCAGCATTCACTTCTTCCCCCTGGGAAAGAAAACCACAACCCAAAAGTCAGCCAGCAACAGAACAAGGCCCAGACAGAGCACAGTCATCACGAGGTGAAGGGGCAAAAGCAGGGAACTCAGCTCCATGAGAGCCAGTTCTCAGAAGGTATCAGGGCAGCCCTGTAAGAGGCTGCCAACAGGGAGAAAATACTCCCAATAAAGTGTGACCCCAGATGCGGGTGCCTGCTACTGGATGCTGGGGTGAACCAAATCCTGTCCTTAGAACCACTTTGAGGAAGATTATTTCTTAAAATGTAATCCTTACAGCAACTCTTTTCTCCTGTTTATCATTATTCCCATTTCACAGGTAGGTAAACTAAAAAATATATATACATATATCCCATCCTTAGGCGTCTTTGAGCTCTTTGTGCCAAGAGGAATGGTAAAATAATAGCTGTATATTTTTGAGCCCTTACTTTTATGAGCCAGGCACCATGCCAAGGATTTTACATCATTCTCTCATTGAATTCTCATAATTCCCCCACCATAAGGTTAGGAATCAGTACTCCCCATTTTTCAGGTGAATAAACTGCAGCACAGTGAGATGAACCTATCAGTCCAAGCCATGAGGCATTTATTAAATGCAGAGCTAGGATTTGAACTCAGACCTGTGACACTCTAAAACCGGAACACTTAGCGACAGCGACCACCTCCATAACAATGTGACCCTGGTCCTTTCACAAAAGGGTTAAACCTGGGATTCCTGACTCCAGGATAATCAGTATGCCATTCCCAGCAGCTAGTCCTCACTGGTTCTGGAAGCATTTAAACAATATTTTCAGTTGAGTGACTAAGAGTGCAAAATTAAACTTTGCCCATATTTTAAAAATTAAATATTTCAGCTGTGACTCTAAATATGTATATGTTTACTTTGTTGTCATGTGGCATGTTATGCATATGTCTATATAACATATATAAATATACACATAGACACACGCACAGTATTACTTACTTTCTAATCCTAAAAATGATCTTTTAGTAATTATGCTTCTTTCACAGAAAAGAGAATGAGAGCTCAGAGACATTAACTAGCTTGTCACACAGTTTAATGCCACCAGAGTTAGGGTTGAAACCCTCCAAATCCCATGAGCATACCACCATACCCTGCTGCCTAGAAGTGGGGGATCCAAGCGTTAACCACTACCCCAGTTCCTGCCGAGACAGACTCAGTAACCTCATTCTCTCAGGGTCCCACACACTTAGGGGACTCCCTTACCGGATAGTTCAAGATCACCATGCGATTCAGCAGAGTGGACAAGGCATAAAAAGCCCCAGTATTCAGACCTAAGGAGGGAGGGAGAAACACACAGCATTAGAGCTGGCTTTGGAGGGGCCACTGCTAGCTCCTCCCCGCAGCAGGTCAGGAGGTCAGAAATCCTCATTTTCATTGCCACTGTGAATGGTGTCCTCGGAGAAGAAAAATCCAGCGAGTGTGAGGCTACTCTGCAGTTTTCCTCCAAGAAATTCTCCAAAACAACCAAACGCAGCCATTTCAACTTGGCTCTCTGGCCCCTGGTAAGCCCACCCTAGAAACACAGGTTCTGGGAAGCATTTCTCCCACGTCAGAATCATCCGCAGTCCTTTCGTAAGCCCTTGGCTAGATTTATGAGGTAAGTGGGACTGCTGGACACCTTCCATCTCTTCCTGATGACCTGTCCCCTCTCCAGACCTCTGACCCCTGACACACTCCCACTGCAGGTGCTTTCTCACCTCCTTCCTGTCGCCCCTTCAGCTTTCTTCTCAGAATCAATGCCACACAAAACCTTATATTTGAAACCAGAAAGGTCCCTAAAAACATTTAGTTGCCTCTTCTAATTCATTAACTCGTTCAACAAATAAGTGGAAAACCTAGAATAGACTGTAAGAAGCTGTGTCCTTAGAGAATGAGGTCATTTGTCCAAAGCCATATAGTGAGTTATAGTAACTAAGATGAGACTAGAATTGACCCAAAGAAGAAAGGGCCTCCTGCCCTCCCTTCTAATAACATTCATGATGATGATGGTGGTGGTGGTGGTGGTGATAATGATAGCAGCACATACTTGTGTACTAGACACTGTTCTATGCACCTTACAATCCTCACAACAACCCTAGACAGCAGCTAGTGTTATCATTCCCAACTTATAGAATAGAAAAATGCACAGGGTTGAAAATCAAATACACCAGGAGACGTTTTAGTTTTAAGTAAACATCGAGACTCATAAGACTTCCACTGATACTTGACATTAGATCCATCTAGAAGGGACACAGCTCTTTGACAGAGCAGCCTTAGGGCTCCTTTTCAATGGGACCAGTACACAGAACCCCAGGCCATCCAGCCACCGAGAAGCCATTCTCCTTAGCCCTTAAGGTGATAGCTCAGGGGCAGGAAAAGGTGGCTACGGCAACCGCTCTGGTTTACACCTGATAGGAGCCACTACTGCTTGCAACAATGCCATACGCACAGTTTCCAGGGTCCCCATAAAGGACAGGACAGTGAGTCACAATACTCAGCAAAACACAAAGAATGGCTTCTTATCAGATAGGAGAAGGTCTCCCAGTCCAACAGTAGTCATTTTTACCACAGAGGTCATTTTTATCATAAGCAAGGTTGCATATGTGCGCCTGATTCACTCCATTTTTCAGGTTCTCAGAGAAAGGATATACAAAGTGAAATGAAGATCCAATTCTCATGCAAAATGAGAGCAGAAGTTTTGTGTGCTATTCCCACAATCACACAGGTAGAAAGTGGCAGAGCTGAATTTTAACCCAGACAGTGTGGCTCTAGTGTCCTCATATTTTGTATGTGTGTGGTTTTTTTTGTTGTTTGTTTGTTTGTTTGTTTGTTTGTTTTTATTGGTTTGAGAGAGGAAGGAAGAGGGTGAAAGAGAGAGAAAATCATCAGTGATACCCTGGGGATTGAGTCCACACCAGGAATCGAGCCAGTGACCTTTTGGTGCATGGGACAACGCTCAACCAACTGAGCCACACCAAGTCAGGGCTAGAATCCTCACTCTTAATCACTCATATACACCCTCATAAAACTGATTCTTGCCCTAGCCAGGTAGCTCAGTTGGTTAGAACATCATCTCAATACACCAACGTTGTGGGTTTGATCCCTGGTCAGGGCACATACAAGAATCAACCAATGAATGCATAAATAAGTAGAACAACAAATCAATGAATCTCTCTCTCTCTCTCTCTCTCTCTCTCTCTCTCTCTCTCTCTCTCTCTCTCTCTCTCACCTCCTACCCTCCCTTCCTCTCTCTCTAAAATCAATAAATTAAAAAACAAAACTTGATTCTTGACCATTTCTTAATCCCAGTCAGGTTACCGAAAATTTCCTTGAATTTCTGCCTCTCCCAGCAGCCTGCTTCAGGGACACAATAAAAGTGGGGTTTTTTTTGTTTCTTTCTTCTTTTCTCCCTTGATTTCAGAGAGGAAGAGAGAGGGAGAGAGAGAGATAGAAATATCAATAATGAGAGAGGATCATTTATTGGCTGCCCACTGCATGCCCCCCACATGAGCCCGCAAACCAGGCACATGCCCTTGACTGGAATCAAACCTGGGACCTTTCAGTCCACAGGCTGATGCTCTATCCACTGGGCAACACTGGCTAGGGCCAAAAATGGTGGTTTCAATGCCACCTCCTGAGGGGCACAGGGCCACAGTGAGTAGACAAACCAAGGAGTGTCACCGAACATCACTACAACTGCCAGACCATGGTCATGAGGACTTGTCAACATAAGAATGTCCAAACCTATCAAGAAAACTTATAAAAATTTATTTGAGTCAAACAGAGAACATGCCTGGACGCAAGATCTCAACAGACTGAGAAAAATGCTTAAGAAAATTATAGTTTGCAGTTTCTTTTATACATGTGAGATTAGGAGGGAACATAAGGAAGATTGCATGAAAGTGGGAGAAAGCAAGGCAGGGGTTGGATTACAGGATAGTTAAGATTATGTGCTCTCCTGAGGATGGTCACACTTTAGAAAGAGGGTTCTGAGAGTTTGGTCAGATATTAGAAGGAGCAGTCTGAAAGGAGGCGTTTCAAAAGAATGGTAACTTAGATGCACAGAAACATGGGCAGGGCTTGCTGAAGGCAAAGAGAAGCCCTTTACTAAAGAAGTTGCATGCCACCTGGCCAGTGTTGCTCAGAGGTTGAGTGTCAGCCTATGAACCAGGAGGTCACGGTTTGATCCCTGATCAGAGCACATGCCCAGATTGTGGGCTCGATCCCCAGTTGGGGGCATGCAGGAAGGTGCCAATCAATGATTTCCATCATTGATATTTCTATCATTCTCTCCCTCTCCCTTCCTCTCTGAAATCAAATATATAAAACTAGAGGCCTGGTGCACAAAATTTATGCGCTCAGGGGGAGAGAGGCGGTCCCTCAGCCTAGCCTGTGCCCTCTTGTAGTCTGGGAGCCCTCGGAGGATGTCTGGCTGATGGTGTAGGCCCGCTCCCCATAAACCAGCAGTCAGACATCCTTAGCGCTGCTATGGAGTCAGGAGAGGCTCCCGCCCCTGCTGCTGCACTTGCTAGCCATGAACCCAGCTTCTGGCTGAGTGGTGCTCCCTCAGTGGGAGCGCACTGACCACCAGGGGACAGCTCCTACATTGAGCATCTGACCCTTGGTGGTCAGTGCACGTCATAATGACTGGTCCTTCTGCCATTTGGTCAATTTGCATATTAGCCTTTTATTATATAGGATTATTTTCTTTTTAAAGTTATATGCCTGGGCATGATACCCATCCTGACTTATCCAGTTAGCAATCTGTGATCAGATCATCTTATGAGAGCCCTGGCTGGTGTGATTCAGTTTGTTGAAGTGTCATTTTATACACCAAATGGTGGTAGGTTTCCTGGTCAGAGCACATACTCAGGTTGTGGGTTAGATCCCTGATTGGGAGGTGGTCAATCAATGTTTCTTTCTCACATCAATGTCTTTCTCTCTCTCTCTCTCTCTCCCTCTCTCTCTCTCTCTCTCTCTCTGTGTGTGTGTGTGTGTGTGTGTGTGTGTGTGTGTGTGTGTCTGCCTTTTCCTTCCTCTTTCTCTAAAATCAATAAAAAGCCCTAGCTGGTTTGGCTCAGTGGATAGAGCATCAGCCTGCAGACTGAAGAATTCCAGGTTCGATTCTGGTCAAGGACACATGCCTGGGTTGTGGGCTTGATCCCCAGTAGGGGGCATGCAGTAGGCAGCCAATCAATGATTCTTTTCCATCACTGATGTTTCTATCTCTCTCCTCTCCCTTCATCTCTGAAGTCAATAAATAAAATCAATTTAAAAAAAAAAAAAACATGTTTGAGGGTGAGGATTAAAAAAAAGCTGTTCAGATCACACTGTGAGATTACTTTCCATAGAACCCATATTTATACACAACTTTGAGGCTCTGGAGGACTTCTTAAGCAACAAACGTACCCACCTAATCTTTATACCACACACCCAGCTACTTGGAAATTCCATTCCTGAGTCCAGGGGTCCTACAAAATGACACATTCCTTAAAAGGGTGGTGGGGTGGAATGTGGGCAGGGAGAAGAATGAAAGCAGCCCCTAGTCCTGCTCCTCACACCTCTCAGCCCCTTTCAACTTATGGTCTGAGCCTCACTCTGCAAGGGGCAAGAAAATGCTCCAAGTCAGGCTCAGCTTAAGGCACGATGGCTACTCTGAGCGTGGGCTCACCTGGAATGAAGAAGGAGAGCAAAATCCACAGGAAACAGAGGGAAATTATCCAGGAGTGAGGCAGGACAGAAAGAAGTTAGGAAAAGCTCTCGACGAGTGAAATGAATAAATAGGAATAGACATCACAGGTCAATAAGCCACTAGGTACTCTCATCAGAGCCCCAAGCTCCCGGAATAACCAAAGGGAAGACAGCTATGGCAAGAAACTCCTGTAGTGGTCACAGAAGTCAACAACAAGGCCTGGCTAAAACCAAATCAATCCAAGATGGAGGAAAAACTGACCAGAGAAACACCTCAAAGCTCATTATATAATAATTAGAGACCAGATGCACAAATTCTTGCAAGAGTAGGCCTTCCTCTCCTCACCCTCCCGTCCTCCCACCAGCACCGGCTTCCCTCTGGCACCCAGGACCGGGCTTCCCTGGCAACCCCACTCCATTTGGTCTAATTTGCATATTATGCTTTTATTATTATAGATTATAATGACACCACAGGTAGAAGGGGAACTGAGAAGGACAAACATCAGAGCACTTTCGGAACAGGCCATATTAGGAACACTACCCCGTGCCCTCTCCCACCAAAAAGTGGAGTCATAATTTGGCACCACAAAGTGTCAGAAAC